TATAAACACAGAGAGAAACTGAGAGTGCTCATGCCTTTGTTCTCTCGTGAGACCACTTCGAAAGTGCTGCACCTTGCGGCCAACTGGGGAAGATGGTCCACCTTTAGCATGTAGCAGAACCTTTAGAAGAAATCTACCCTGTTCGGTTCCACCGTAGCAGAGATAAGAACCTCCAGGTCCACCGTAGCATATACACATTATAGGCAGTACCAGGCAGTATGAAGATGGGATATAGGAATATATATATATATGTCGAATGGGAATCGTTCGCTCGAGTGATAGCCGCGGTAGCTTGGACGGACGAGCAAGTTAATTATGTCAAGTCGGGAGATGTTTCTACTAATTTAACAATATGTAACTTGATTATATAAAAATACAAATTTTACTCGCAGAACCGCAGGTCAGGAAGTACACAGGGTAATGAAATTAAACGCAAGACAGGTTTAATATGAAATTCGACATTTATTCAATAATTTTTTATTATAAACATCGGTCCGCGGCCGCGTCTTAAATCGACACTTTTAGCCGAGTGGATGAAATTTGTGTGCGTGCTGATGCGTCAGTGAAGCGAATTTTAAATTCGGCCGTCTTCGGACATCTTCGGAAAGAAGGTCGGAAACTTCGGTGATCTATAATAGATCTATAATATCTCTATGATGGTACTATCTATACTGTGTATATGCTACGGTGGACCTGGCCCTGATTCTGACCTGTGCTACGATGGAACCGAACAGGGTAGATTTCTCCTACAAAGGTTCTGCTACATGCTAAAGATGGACCATCTTCCCCAGTTGGCCGCAAGGTGCAGCACTAGTATGGGGCACGCCAAAACGGCTCCATTCCATGAGCACTCTCAGTTTCTCTCTGATATACATATATACGCATATATGACTGTATATATAGTCAAAGGTTGAAGACAACGTACGCGATTTGTACTTCGATGCCTTCTATCCTTCTATGTACGCATAATACACGACGGTTAGTTACCCGTTTGTCACGAAACGGTCAGGAATAATATTTACGCGGAGTCATCATAAACCTTGCGACGGACTTATCAAATTTGATTGTTCTACCGTTTGCTATGCGAAGCATATATGTGTATCGTTAAACATCGTTTCTATGTATACGTACGTACATACGAACATGCGTACACGACATCCACGACATACCTGCCTATACCGCACGACGGATTATAGATTTCAGATTCTGCATTCTGTACACGCTGTTTATGAAAAATGAGAATGTCCATGGGAGTGCCTCGTCGTCGTTAGAAAATGTGTTTGCCGCTGACAGCGGATCAATATGCAGCGGACAGAATTGTACAGCGTTTTAAGAAAGTCGCGTTTCTGTCGTTAAAAGGTTAAACGGAAGGATCGAACCATGACGACGACAAGGTGATAGAAATCGTCGAAACTCGAGGGTCGATAATTTCAAGAAGAATGGCAACGGCTCAAGGTACACCGGAATCCGATACGGGAAGCTTCGAATGCTTCCAAAATTACACGGCACCCGAAGTATTCGTTCAGGGCTTGGCTGGCATCGTCGATCAACAGGACGTAGAATCTATGATAAGGGCTCAAAAGCAAATGTAAGGAACGTCTGTCCTGAGCGCGTCTATGAAGTAGCATCCACTGTTCTAACCGTTTATACAATGACAGGCTGCAGAGGTTCGAAAAGACCAACGAGATGTTGACCAACTGCAATCAGTTGTCGGTAAATAGGTTGAAAACTGCTGGCAGCGAGTTTAAGAGGCATACCGCGTTGCTGGTGGAAATGAAGAAGGATCTGGATTATATTTTCAAAAGAATTCGGGTCGTGAGAAACAAATTGAACCAGCAGTATCCTCAGGCATTCAATGGTAAGGACACGAGACAGGCGGACGGTATTTAAGAGGAATCGTGTACAAGAGTTGTCTATGCACGCAGAAGCCGTAAGAAGCAGTTTGGCGGAAGAGGTGATCGTCGAAGACGTAGATTGCTCCGTAAAACCTCTGGAACCTGAAGTCGTTCCGCTACCAAGCACGCCTCACACTTTAACGGATAGAGATCCAGATTCTGATGGTAACCAAACTTGTACTACAAGTAATCGTAGTAACGCGCACTGAGTTGCGTCGAGTCGTACGTCGTTCTTCCTCTTCTTGGTCTTTTCTATCAAACAATTTCTCGAAGCGAACGAAAGGTCCTTCGAGTTCGCACCATGTTAATCGTTCTCTATAAGTAAATTATCATAGAACGGCTCTTCTAGTCGTTAGATCACGATCGTAGCGAATCGTGCACAGACCGTAAACGTAAACGTGTGCGCATAGAAAGGGTGACGAAACGTGTAAATGTGTATATACCTAAAAGTCGCGAGGTATTCTGTTCGACGAGCGAACGCGCGAGTCCCTTAACACCCGTCGTCGTCGTTGACGACGCGCACGCTGATTCCCTGATCGTTGTTAACACAGCTCGATTGTACATGTTACGGCCATAGTGCACCACGGATCCGGCCAATCCATTACGATCGACGACGAATGTCGAAACTCCGATGTGTTCGTCCCGGCGATCTCGGTACACCATGGCTATAACGTAACAGTAGCGTTTCACTGTAACTATAAATGAATTCTCGAAGGAGCATCAGCAAATACAGATGACTTTCGTTTTGGATATCGCTAGAGGCGATCAGTTGATTTCATTTCCCGATCGTTTAGGTTCAGAGGCTCGCCAGATCGATCTCGATTCCTTTGTCCCGACCGCGTCGTTCAGTCGCTCGAACGAAACTAATTACGAATTCATATTGTTGACATGTACAGTGCCGGTCGAGGAGTTTCAATTCGCGAAGCTGCGGAAACGGCGAATAAAGAGCAACGATAGTTCGTCGACGGACAGCAACAACGATCACAGTAATGCCGATACTTCGCCCTGCACGTCCGATACTGGTTGACCGCGCTGGTTTCGCGCGTTCATACGGGCTCGAAACTCCGAAACGAGAGAGAGAGAGAGAGAGAGAGAGAGAGAGAAACGGATTAATAAATACGAACGGAAAGTCCATTTTATAGCGTGACCGTTATCGTGAATGATCATTGCCCGACAATATCCTCGATCATTGGGAACTACAATCCATCATTTTTGTCATCATCCCGTTTTACCTAACAATAAAGCATTGTTTCTACAACCGTAGAAGAGTCGATCATTCAGTACCGGTGAGCGCGGTACGGTCACAGCTCGAACCAGGATTCACCATCCCCCGTTTGCTTGGAAACGCGATGAGAGGATGCGGTCTCGTTACAGGACAAATAAATGTCCGATTACCAAACGATTCGACCTTCGATCGTTACCTTCCCATTTTTCGCGGTTCCTCGGTTCGCGAACGTTTCCAAACTCGTTTGTTGTTTCTTTTCTAAAAACGTTACTCGTCTCTGTTTCGTACCATGGGGACGGTACGTGCTATACACACACGTCATCCTCGCGTATACGAACGCGATGCGGCGCGTTCTCCGCGTGCCGTCTGAGCCGTCGCGATGCCAGAAGCCAGCTGCGCCTCAGCTGTTTTCTATCCGTTCCTTCTGGACACCTTCTCTTCTTCCTCTCGTCTCTCCTGATCGTCTCCACTCGCCTCCTCCTCGCAAGGACGTTTCAAAGTAGAATCCTACTAATTTTTCGACAGACTTTAAACGGTAGAGGAAAAATAGCGATGAGACTCTCGAGGAGGAGGCGACGAGGAAACAGCCGTTTAGTCTCATTATCGGACTCTCCCGTTTCGTTCGACGAACATCCTACATACTACCGGTCTCCGTGCTACGGTAGGCGCTCTTTGTCAGCGCGAGACAAAGAACGCACGTATGCGGAGACGAATCGGTGCCGAGTCGATTTCGAACGAGTAATTATTAACAAAAGGACGTTCGAACGGCTTGTGGGGAAATGTAAGACGGCGAAGATACCTGCCGATAGTCGCGAAGACCAAAACGATACAAATTACGATCTTGATCTGTACGATGTTGAAGTAGGGTAGACACGATCGGCGATCGAGCAACAGCGTGGTTGCGCGCTTTTCTGCGGGCGAAAACGCTGTAAAATCGGCTGACGCGGTTTCTCCCTCGCGAGAGAGAAGTGACGTCGTGCTATTGACATCCGCTCCTCGTGGTATCGACATCTCGGTACAAGCCAGCTCGCGCCGGGAGCACGATTTTGCGTCACTTCCACGGCGAAAGGGAGGGTGAGAGGTCACGGGGTGGGTGGAAGGAAGAGAGAGAGAGAGAGAAAGGGCGTGGGACGGGTGGAATTCGTTGGACGAGCACACGAGCCACCACGTCGGTATAATTTTCACGAACGCGAGAACTACAACCAGGCAAGGACCGATAAGTCGTAAATTACGTGCGCGCGGGAAGCCACCCTTCGATCGGCTTGTAAAATCATACCCGCTCCGTCCGTTTGTGCGCGACGGCATCGGTCGTCGAAGCTTGCGATCACTCTTCGGGGCCGAATCGTACTTTGTACCTACCTTCGCAACAACGTCTCGATGGGAGCACAGGTCCCCCGATCAGGATCGTCGTAAGAGAAGGAAAGCTTTCGTTGTACATCGAACATGAAAGGGATCGAGGATCGAGGCGAGGACTCGTCCCGGGAGCTGCCTCGCTGCTGGCGATGGTAACACCCGAGGATGGTTCTCAGTTTCTATAAAGTCTGATCTTGTATCGAGAAATCGTTGCTGCACGACTCCGGTAGGACTCCTGTCCGTTCGATCTTTTGATCTTGACGATCAACGAACGTGTCTACGTTTTACAGGTCGCGGATACGTGAAAATGTTGAGCGAAACTCGAGCGATAGGTCGAAGAAATGAAGGAAAGACGAGACGAGGGTGGCGCGGTGGGACAGAGAGGGATGCGGTGATGCGGTTATCAGGGAATTTCGGCGCGGTGACGCGAACACGTAGAGAGAGCGTAGGTGGCGATGACAGGACCGTGACGGAGTGCTAATAATACGTATAATAGGAGCGACGCGCGCGTGTCCGTGCAATGTGGTCGCACACGAATCCCCCTGCTGATAAACCGGGACAGAGAGATATTCTGCCGCGCGTACGGCATGCGCTCGCTCGTGGATTCGCGTTCGATCGTTCGGAGAGCCGAGGCAGATCTGAAAATTTGGAAAAATTGGCACGAGGATCGTCGCGAGAGCGAGAGAAAAGTGTGGTCGAAGAGTGGCGAGCTATTTCTCAGCTTCAGCGGCAGAGGGTTTCTTCGCGGGAATATATCGACGCGTCAAGAGCACGCTGGCTCGTTTACGACATCCTCGCGCGCAGGTAGGACCTGTTCGTACATTCTGTTCGTCAGATGCCTGTCCACTCGTATCGCGCATCCCTCCCGTCGCATCGACGACGAGCGTTGTCGTTAAATCGTTTCTAGTCTTTCGTTCGAAGCGCAATTTTATCGGAACGATCGATGACTCGGTTTATCACACGATTTACAGCGCCCACGGTGACACCACGACGACGACAACGCCACGAGCGAACTATGCGCGCCTTTCGATCCTGCTCATCGATCGTCGACGCTCCGATCGGGAGAGAACCGAACGCGTGTCGGTCGTCCAGGATGTGTCGCGCTACCACCACCAGTACGCTCTCCTCCAGGCGGGCAGAGGTTGTCCCGGTAGAGGAAACCACCACCTCTCTTCCTGGCCCTCCACCGGTTCGCGTAGCGTCGCGCCGTTCTTCCAGTTCTCGGACGCGGCGAGAGGCGAGACGCTGAGGCTCAGTCGGCCGGCGACAGCCGTCGGTGTTCCGCGTTTCTTCGTGCCGCGCACGCTCGCGTCGTCACCCGCGAAAACTCGCGTTCACGTTCCCTTCCGCGATTTCAAAACTATTCTCACGTGAGATGAAACGTTTCGTCGTCGGTGTTCGTCGTTGGCGACGATCTCGCTAGACCCACTGCTGCTGGCTCCCAGAAATCGGCCTACACGTTCTCTGCTACGAACCCTCTTGGACTTGCTCGGGATCCTGTCTGATCACCGCGCGCGTCGAACATTCGTAGAAACGTATTACAAGGTAGGCATTCTCAATCGTTCAATTATTTCTTTCGATATTCTGAATCCGACGCCAAGGCAAAGTAACGCGAATCGACGGAGGAAACAGATAAGCCGTTTACGTTAAGGATCTACGGTTACGCGCATATCTATACGCGTACAAAGGTTCTCTGTCACGTCGAGACGGATGGATGGATGGACGATCGTGCGCGCACGTGTGTCGAGCCGTCGTTAACAGATAGAGTAGGGAAGGTTGCCGAAAACTGTATCCTGAATAGAAAGAGAGAGAAAATAAGAGACCTCTCTTTATCTCTTTTTACTAGCGCATGATAGAAAGAGATAGAAAGATGTCTTTTATTTTCTTTCTCTATCTAAATAAGTATACGGTATCACTTATACAAGAGCCTATGTTTTCCCTACTCTGTCTGTAATATCTCTATGGCCGTCGGACGGCGAACGGTTGACGGGTGAGAAAGAAAAATCATTCGAACCTCGGGACTTCTTTGCGATTCAAAGTCGTCAGCTGCGTCGTTTCACGCAATGTTTCCCGGAAAGCGATCAGTCGTCTGTTCCCCGCCGTCGACCGATCGAGCGATCCTCTTCGAGTTCTGTGTATCATTTAAAAATCGTCACGCCGAAAAACGAACGAGTAACTGAATGAACGGGCAAATGAAAAACGTTGTAACGTCGCAACTGAAGCAGCGTGGATTTCACGGATCGCGATCGAAGGAAGGCGCGACTCGGTTGGGTCCTCGCGAATCGGTCAGAGTAACTTGTTCGGGTTTCGAACCGAAACGGAAGGAAGCGAGCGTGTCCGCGATTCGCATCGGGTGCGTGCATACGATGGTGGCCCGCTATTCTCTCAAGTATTATATCGATTAACTGTTGGCAACAGAAGAGAGGCAGAGCAAAGCTTGTTGGAGGGTGGCATGGCTTTGGCTTTCCTATATTATTAATCTCTCTTCCTTCTCTTCCCGCTCTTCGCCTTTTCTCCTCTCTCTCTCTCTCTTTCTCTCTCTCTCTCTCACTCTTTCTCCCTCTCCGCCTCCCGCGATCCCTTTGCCATATACGAGTCGGGGTCAGGTGTTGCGGGCAGCTTCCGCGCTTCAAAGAGAGTTAACGTGCTCGCGATCGAGCAGCCTTTGCAGCCCACACGTATAGATACGTGCGCGTGTAGTCGCGGGCCCGACGATCTCGTCGTTTCGAACCCTCCAGGGACTCAGAGATACCGCGCATCCACTGTTTTTTTTTTTTCGGTCCACCGCAATTTTCCGTCGTTTCTCCCGGTCACACGGCCGGTTGTAAAACCGGACAGGCAACGAACGAAACGTCAAATGCCGTGGCGCGGCGGAGTGAACGCGACGCGTCTCTGTCCGTGACACGTTCGCGACGCGACCGGGTCAGGGCTTCGAACACCGTAAATTCGAGTGGCCGAGCGACGAAGTGAGTAAGTATAGAGATGCGTTCGACGATGCATCGCGGCGTACGCCGTCTAAGAAAATTGGAGGAGGGGGAGGGAGGTCACTCGACGACGAGAGGGTGAGAGACGGGAGGGCGAGAGCACATCGTCAAAGGCCGGTGCGAGTGCCCGAAGACACGCGATGGCTGTGCGTGACATTTTTGTAATGAAAGCAAGCCGAACGCGACACGGCCTCTCGGTGGCACGGCGAGTACGGCAGACATCTGGTCCGGTTGGCTCGGTTCTGCCCGTTCTAATATTGGAAATTGCGTCTCCACCCGCGCGCGACCTCCTCTCTCGAAAGAGCGCCGCACCATGTGCAGGACATATGTATAAACATAAGCTTTCCGCGACGGTGAAGTCGTTTCCTTCGAAACGTGTCCGCGATCGATCCGACCACCGTGTAATACGCTCCCGAGCTTTTTGTTCCCGCTTGCTCGACGCGCGGGGTCCGTCGGATCTTCGGAAAACCGTTCCCAGTAGCCGACGATATTTCGTCCGTTCCTTGAAACGACGGCACCCTTCGCATCTCGGATGGTAAATACTGAATCGCGTAACAGCGCGTCACCGGTCTCGATCGGACAGTTGTGCGCGACGATTCTTTTCATTTTGACGCGTGAAAATTGCGTTAAGCATGTATTGGCTATACAATCAATCCCAAAAGTTTATGTACCTTAGAAAAACGCATTTCCTATAATTAAAAAGAAATCAGACGTCAGAAGAACAATGCTAATAATAAATAGCTACGTGCTAAAAAGTATAGATGGAAATATCCAATTAAGTATTGACGCTGAAGTAAAAGTTGTTTTCCTTCTAACTTCGATATTTAACGAGTTACGTATGATTATTTGGCATTTTATTGATGTTGACAAAATCCGACCATCCATCCCAGCGTCGAAACGGCGAACTTTTGGCAAAAAATTTCATTTTTCCTTAATTACTCCTAAACCGTTGAATCTACGGGAAAATTGTATATGACCTTTCTTGTAGAGAACGACGAGATCTACAATTTCTGTATAAAAGTTTTTCGCTAGCATTAATATTGAAAGAGTTATGGACGAAAAACGAAAAAACAGTTTTTTGCAAATTACTCGTGAACTATTGACGCTAGCGAAAAAATTTTACATGGAAATTGTAGATCTCGTCGTCCTTTACAAGAAAGGTCGTATGCAATTTTTCCGTATATCCAACGGTTTGGGAGTTATTGGCCAAAAACGAAAATTTGGAAGAAATTGAAGGGACCCTTGGAAAAATCTTGGAAAAATCGTAAATTCTTTTTTGTTGTTTATTATTAGCAATGTTCTTCCGACGTCTGATTTCTTTTTAAAAAATGCGTTTCTAAAGTGCATAAACTTTTAGGATTGACTGTATAGCCAATACATCCTTAAAATCGAACAGTATCGATGCCGGATCGAGGATTGAAAAATAAGACGTAGACTTATTACTCGTTTTGAATTTTGCCCCCCAACACAAGCCCGAACTGGGCTAGCTTCATTGTTACTATCCTGTACATTCGCACGGACATCGCGATGGAAAGGACTGGTCGCTTCGTTTTCGCGAGAAGCGGACTGTTTCCGGCCCGTTCGATCAAAGAAAAAACCGTAGACGAGCTCGCGTTTATATCCCCGTGCGCGCGACACAGCTGCGCGCAATTACCAACGGCAGAGCCGCGGATTTTCTGCCGTGGCACGTATATCGTTTTCCGGCAACTCCGCGCGCTTGTTTGTTTAACTAAGCGTCTTAACGAATTGCCACGACCGGGTCTACCCTCGGCTCGGGTGTCGCTCCGCCTCTTGCGCCACGCTCTACTACCGGCGGAATACATATCGAAATCGACATCGAAGTAAGCAGCTCGAGAAACGATTTCACGAGGTTTCGAGACGATCGGCGATTACGTAGTAGAAACGACGACGACGACGAGGAGGAGTCCCTCGCAGGGGACGGCCGTTTCTCGGACGAAATGAACGAACGAACGACTCGTTTGCATTTCGCGTTAATAACGAGACCATGTGGCACCCGCTGGCCAGTGACGGTGGCAGGGGCAGAGAGGGGAACGAGACCGGGCCGCGCGCCGATAAAATAAAACTGGAGCGGCAGCCGCGCACCACGTGGATCTTAAACCTTATTTTCCGTCCTCGTTCCGTTTAATTCTTCCGTTTCTCGAAATCTCGCTTCCGACCGCGTGATACGTGTCGCGCGTTCCTCGAATCGGCAACGGGAGTCACGTCGGTGTTACGGCGCCGCGCCGCGCCGCGGCCAACTCCCGCCGGGAATCGAATATTCCCCGTTTAATCGCGCGTTATTTATCCCACGCGTACCGCCGCCGTGCAGAGTCCAGATATTTGGCTATTCAGAACGGGTTCGTCGAACGATGGATGTCTGCTGGTCTCTAAAACTGCCGCTCGGTCGTTCCATTAAAACCAGTCATCGGTATGCGCGGACCGCCGCCGTTCGTCGCCGAGCACGTACGCGAAATATGCGACCACCGGTGCAATCGCGAAATGGAATCGATCAAACACGAATCATGGCCGGCAGCGATCTGTCGCGAGGGCCGATCTTCGCGACCGATCGCCGCCGTCGTCGTCGCAGATTCGTCTCTCGACGTTTCTCAAGCTGCTCGTTATTGACTGGCCGACGACGTTCGGTCGAACGGTCTGTTTCGATTCGCGCTGTATTGCCGGCGCGACGCAGTGCTCGTGGCTCGTGGACCACGAGATCGACCAAAGGATATATACGTAGATAGCGTAGCAATGGATCGGATGTTCGACAGGCAACAAGTTGGAGTACGGGAGCATGAAAGTGGAGGGTGGAACGGCGACCAGCACGCTTCTGCAGAAGGTGAAGGTGAAGGAGGAAGCGAAGGAGCGTTGCGGTTATCAGGAAAAGTCGCCATCGACGACGACGACGATGACGACGACGAGTACGAGTCCTGCGAACCAAACCGTTACCAATGCCAGCAGCAACGGTGGCACGGTGTCCAGCGTGCCCGTCGTTCCGTCGACGAACGCGTCCTCCCCGGAAAGTTCACACCAGCCCTCGACCATCGTCTGTCACTCGTCAGCGCCGACGGTCCTCGTTAACGCCGATCCTTTTCCCGTCGATCTCGATCTCAAGAGCAAACCGAAGGGTACGTGTCTGCCTGTACGATACACACATTTTTTTCCCCGTTCGTGTTCTCTCTCTCTCTCTCTCTCTCTCTTTCTCTCTCTGTCTTTCTCGTTCCTTACGGGACTGCCGCGTGCGCGGCAAGCGGTCCTCGTCTCACATCCCTCTCTGTCTGTGTTCAATCGTAGCCATAAGAAAATTATGATTACAGTAATTTTAGCGCCACACCCGACGAGCCTGTGTGCGACCAGCGTACGCGCGTCGATTCGGTCGATCCGTGGGAGTCTAGAAACGGCGACGCGTATCCGCTGTAATCGGTAGAACGATCTACGAGCTCAGTCAGAAGTGGGAAATCAGAAAACGGAAAAAAGAATGATTCGCTCGCACGTTTCGCGTTCCTCGCTCAGCTGTGGGCGCGGGTCGAACGTTAGTTTGGAACGTTGCGCGGGGCATAGGGGTACCCGTATATCCAGACTCGCGAGCGCGTTCTCACCGGAATCGTACCTTCGAACCGAACCGATTATCTAGACGGCCTGGAGCGGGTCAGAGCCCGCAGCTACTTTGGGAACGGGGCGCGAAGAAAAAATCTCTCTCTCTCTCTCTCTCTCTCTCTCTCTCTTTCACTCTTTCTTCCGCCAAAAGCCCGTCGCTGGTTCTCGGGTTCGAGACGAATCCGACCGGAATCTCTTCGCGGCTTCCTCGTTTCGTTAAGAAGTATCTCTCAACAGAAACGACCTTGAGCGAAGGAAAAGCGTGTAAAAGCAGGGAGTTCAGGTGTCCACGTTTGATACGGCGGACTGCGTGCTAGGATCCACTACCTGTTTCGAGCGTTCTTTCGCTGTTAAGACTACGGCTTTGGTTCCACTGCCGTACGTACGACTTACGAAGACCCTACGTGCCGTTGACGTGACGGTTCACGATTTACGGGAGATACGACGGCGATTTTTATTCGATCGTCTCGAATTTAACACGTGTAAGTCGGTGGAGAGTGCGGGAGCAACGAGGAAGGAGGAACAACGGGGGAAAGAGACTGTGCGCCGCGAGGTAGCAGGAGCGCGGGTGTTTGTAGATCGAAGAACAGCTCGACGAGCCGGGGCTGGGCCGGGGATGGCTGATGTTCGTAGTCAGTCAAGCCGAGTGGTTGAGCTCGGTGTGTTAGTTGGGTCGGTTGGTGCACCGGCTGACTGCCTGGACCAGACGCGATAAGGCACGTCCAACACTTCCACCGGGATTCTGCTCGAGGCTGATATCATATCCGGTACACCGTCGGCATTCCCGAGGTTGCCGTTCGGTTCGTATTTCGCGATAGTCGCCCGTGGCCTACCGCCTCGCCTTGCTCCCTGACGCGTTCGCGACGTAGACGTCGCAGATCGAAGAACGCAAAACGAACTTTGCATTCGCCCCTCTGTTCGACCGCTTCGCGCCCCAGTTTTCATCGACGACGCCGCGAACTTTCCCGGTATTCGTTCCTGGCGAATCCGATTCCGATAAATCCTGAACCCGTGGATGCGCCTGAAAACTCGTTGCTTCGAGGCGCGCTTTGTTTCGGGACTTTCGGGAGCAATCGGAAAGCTCGACCGGAGAGAGAGAGAGAGAGAGAGAGAGAGAGAGAGAGAGAACAGAGGAGAGGAAGGAGCTAGGAAGGGATTGCGATCAAACCCATCTGTTGCATTGTCCCGGCAATTAGGAGGCGACAGCTGAGTCCCAGCGTACTTACTTCCACCCAGGGACTCTCAGTCGAGTGGAGCACGTGCGCTTTATCGATCTTTCTTGGTGCTCGTGAAACGGTCGTCTACGAAGACAACTAGCCGTTTCTACGCTGGTTCTCGCGTGTGCTTCAGGTGCCACCGCGAGATTCGCGTTTCCTGCTCGACGCCGGACCTCTCACGCTCCTCTTCTTCCCATCGTCGATATCTCGAGTCCTCGCACGCTCTACGCGTCAGCTGTACCAGTCACATGCTATCCCGCGAGAAAGTCCGATCCCGGATGTCCCGATCGGTAAACGTACTTCCGAGCGTAAAGGATCGCGCGTAATCAAAGATAGAATCAGAGCACGTGCCACGCATCGTCCCTCCCACCCGACGAGATAAGCGGCGAACGTATCGGCTCGCGCCGTCCTCTTCTCGCTCTCGTTTAGTTTTCGATTTAATTCGCGGCACGCGCGGTCCAGTACGCGTATGTTTGAAGAAGAGGCGAAACGGAAGGTAGAAAAAATCGTGGATACTGCGCGACAGATATGGTAAACGGTGGTGGATTATTCGCGAGAGACAGTTCCGCGTGTAACGTTTCGTTATCGGCACGCGTGACGGCGTTTTGCCAGGTCGAGGCACAGGGCCGGAGGCATCCCGCGAGATAACGCGCGGACTGGAACACAGAATGGGAACAAGACAAGGTGGATGACACGGCCCGTAATTGCATGTTATCCGGCGCGCCCACGCACACAGAGTACACACCGGGTCGGCACGGACCCGAGTATGCGTGTGTGTGGACGCGCCTATCAACGCGTTCGTAAACGAATGCCCGATTCGCCTGCCCGTTCCACGTGCTCCGCGGTCGACGGGGTTTCCCGGTCGCTCTGATGTTCCTGCGTCCAGAGCACAAAGCCTGTCTCCCTCGGAGCCCTCTGGCCCTTTGCCGGTTCGAAACGCTGGTCGCGTTCGGTTTCGGTATCGAGTCGCTTCCACGCGGTGTCTGTCCCGAATTTACCGCGGGTCTAAGTACACGATCAACGGGTACAGGTGTTTCGTTTCAGCGAGCTCCGCGAGCAGGGAGAAACCGCGAGAAGATGTCCAGCCGGAGGCCCACTCACCGTCGCCTCGCCGAAAGATCCCAACGAAGCAGAGCAACGGGACGCGATCGTCCTCCGATGCCGACAGCCCTTTACCTCCGCGTTCCTCCAAGCCGGAATCGGAGGATACGAGCTGTGGAGCCGGCGGCACTGCTTCCGCCAGCGCGAACACCGCCGCGACCGAATCTGCCGTTCCGAACTGCAGAACGGAAGAGCAAAACGACGCATCCAACAGGAACAACGACGATAAAAACGTACCCGGAAACAGATGCATCGCCGGGGTGTTCGCTGGGCACGGCGAGCTCAAGAGCGTCCTCGGTACCGTCGTCAAGTTCGCGACGGGCATTTCTCCGGACACGGGGGACACCGTGCTCACCCTGGTACTGGCGCTTCTGGTAAATAAATCCGTCGCGAACGAACCGTCGCGCTTCCAATTATTCCATAACTTCGATCCGCGTGCAGCGAGCACGTACGCGCGTAGTTTCCATGTTTCTCGACGTATTCGATCGCTCTTCCTGTTCCGACCGAACGCTCGAGGCGCGTCGCGGGTGTACACGTGAACGTGCAACTGCTGCACCAGCAGCTGACGGATGCCGAAAGAACCTCCTATAGGAGGGAACGTAACGTCGCCGTGACACGTGCTGCACCGCGCCAACTGTCGCGAATCTCGCAGATCGCGTTCTTCGTTCCGCACTCGTCGCGCCTTCGAATCTCTCGGACAGAAGAGGACGAGGAGAGCGAATCGAGAGTCGAATTTTGAAACAGGATACAGTGGCCGCTCGCGAAGTCGGTGATCATCGAATTATATCGCAAGACGATGTTCTCGTTTATAGAGCGGCGGCATGACCGCGGAGGAGTTTCACTCGGCCCTGCAGGAAGCGACCAACTACTCTCTCAGGGGCTTCGTCCTTCCGCACTTGAAACAACAATTGCCCGCCTTGCAGAGAGATTTGAGCAGCGCTGCCAGAGCGAACGGCCAGGTGCGCTTTACGGAAGTTTATACCGCGTCGCTTTTTTCGTGCACGTAGTATGTAGATGGACGCGTGTAGATCGGAGTTATGTTACACGCGTGGTAAGCCGCGTACCGAAGGGAAGGGTAAGAGAAAACGCGTGGAATAAAATCAACAGAATCCACGGCCGGGGCCGACCGGCTGCGGATCTGTTTTAATTTCCCAGGCTACTTCGCGAGTCGTGGGTGGGAAAGCGGCAGCCTGGTTCACGACGAGCGAAGATAGATGAACGAGTCGAATGCGAGAACGACTGTTTGTTCGGTTTTTCGCGCGGTGCTCTTCGTTCGCCTCCGTCTCTAGCGTCGAACCCGAAAGATCGAATCCGGGCGAGCGGTTTCAACGATCGCGTGCATCGAACCGACGACGACGCGACGCGACTCGTCTCCTTAGAAGCGAGAATTAATAGAATCGTTTCCAGCTGTTGCCGCCTGTCTCGCGAAAGGCCGAACGGAGACGGAAAGAATGGAAAATACGTCGTACGCCGAGGAACGGACGCTAACGGCGCGGTAACGAATTGCAAATTAATAGGAAAGATTTCCATCCCTCGAGAAGGGAAGCAGCGAGCAATCGGAATATGAGAGCGGTAAATTCCTGCTGGCTGGCACCGTTTTTCCGTTCGAAACCGAGCAGCCGGTGCGTACACCGATCGAACTCATCGAACTCGTGCGCGCCTAACTTTCCCGATCGATGATCGCTAATTGAGGACGGCGCTCGCGAGGAAATCTGGTGCTGGTCGAACAGGGGCGACGATACGATATTAGAAGCGATAAATCTTTGTTCGCGGACTTGGCTGCGAAGGAAAGGTGCCGGCGTTGGGGGACGGCTAATCTCTGGCGAGTCGATCAGGCTCGACCGAGTCGCGGAGGATCGCTCCTGCTGCTGGCTGGCGCGTTTCTGCCAGCCAGAGTCGGCTCTTAACTTTCTCGAACGGCCTCTAGTTTTATTAATCTCGCGGTCCGATTCTTTTTTCACAGAATTGCTCACAGTATTTGCAATCGAACGAGGCAGCGGTTCTGGAAGCGGTCGGCCTGTCGGCGGACCAGGTCGAAGTCTTCGGAGAGCACACCGGCAACGGGATTGGAAACGGCGGCGGCGGTGGCAATCAATGCTCAGCTCATTACGCCGTACGGTCCAACTCTAATCTCAGCACGGGCGGCATTCAGCACGGGAATAACGCGACGGGTGGTCTGCACCATTATTCCAGCGGGGGATCGCACGCGCCTAAACGTCGCGCTTCTGACACTCCGTGAGTTCACTGTTAACGCTCGAGTTCCGAATCCGTAGCCGCGTCTCGAACGTCTTGTACGACCGCGTTACTCGCACGCTGACACGCCAACGGACACGGCGGCCGCGTTCGAGGAAGATACGGATGCCGAAATCTGGTCTACGTGTGTAGAACGATAAACTTTACCGTGCGGATAACGCAGCTGCGCGTACACGTATTTCCAATGTCCATATTTGCCTATTTGCCAAGCCGCAAACGCGGCGTTTCGGAAAAACGTTGGCCGCGGGCCGACGCGTTCGTCGAAGAGATCTCGGACGATCCCGATCGAACGGATAATTCACGGCGTTGCGTGGATCGAGCCCGTGCACAAAGGACGAGGTACGAACGGTATAGGGCATCGGGTCTCGGCCGGCGACGCAGGGACAGGATGTACGCGGCTGCCGTCGGGACGGGGAAAGGGAGCGGATTCGAAGGCGACAAAACGCGACGTGCGCGATGGCGATGCCAGCCTGGCCTCCTCTCGATATGTCTGCCGGTGACGTTTCCATATATCATTGCGGGGTACCACCTTTCTCGAACACCCCGTCCGTCCTACTCCCGCCAAGACCCCTCTATTCTCTACCCTTCGACTACCGGCAAATTTGCCTCGAGTGCCTATCGGCGTCCTGCTAATACGACCCACCTTCGCTCCGACGCTTCGAGCTGTTTCCGTCAAACTGCGCGCTCAACTAAATTAACGAATTCCGCTTCCCTCCCGACTTATCGAACCAGAAATATTCGCGTCGCAGGTACTACGAGAACGGTCTCCACGAGGACGTGCCGGTCTACGGGAAGAGGCTGAATTCATGGAATCGTCATCATCTCCAGCCGCAACAGCCACCGGAGAGTTCATCCCCTTACTGTTGGTATCATCCGCTCCATTCGTCGAGCGGATCGATCCACGGGCATCGTCACAACCACGGTCACGGTGGTCACGGACACGGCCACGGTCCCAATCCAATGCCGCCGACATCCACGCAGATCTCTCAGATGAGCGCGTTTTCCGGCTCTCATCATCTCGGACAACAACAGCAACAGCATCAGCAACAGCAGCATGTTCAAACGCGGAACGGTAGCTTGGACGACGAATGGAAAAACATCCACGTGATGTTAAACTGCATCCTAGGTATGGTGGAACAGACGAAGACAGCTCTGGCCGTTCTGCAAACGCCGGGCGGGTTCGCGCCTCCGTCGTCGTCGACCACCGTGGCCGACGCGGTTCAGAACGGCGCCCAACAAGCGAACAACAATCCGTCCTCGTCGAACGGTGCCCAGGTGGAATCTTCGACCGGGGACCTCGAGGGCATCTTAAAACGGTTTGCCAGAGAAATCGTCGCACAGACCATCAAGGCGATCGAGGAGAAGTGGGCCGAGATGAAGAGGAAAGACGGTTCGTTGTTCGAGGACGATTCTCAGCGCTCGTCGCTCGTAAAACGTGGACGTACATCGACATACGTTGCGCTTCTCTTTGCAGAAGAAGCCGTGAAAAGAGCCGTGGTAGCCGAAGTGCAGCGGGCCGAGAGGGTAGCGGTGGCCGAGTCCAGGGTGAACGAGCGTCTTCGAGTTCATCGCTTGCTCGACGTTCCTGCTCCGGTTTCTCAAAGAAATCACACCACCATCCGGCAGGGTCCCTATCTACGTGTTCACGCCGCTTCTAGTCAGGTGGACGCGAACGCTAGGATCGTTCCAACGCCGTCGTCCGTCTCCAACTCGATGCCTTCCACCAGCGAGGACGAGAAGGAACCACGCTTGCAATCGGTCAGCTCCGGATCGGTCAGCTCCGGATCGGTCAGGATTTCTCACGCGATCTCACAAACTTCCTTTGCGTCACACGTGCCTGTATGTTGTACGCATCGATCGTTCTGTTCGCAGAAGTGTTGGAACTGCGGCAGGCCCGCGTTGGAAACGTGTGGCGGTTGCGGCATAGCGCGGTACTGCGGCTCTTTCTGCCAGTACCGAGACTGGGAGACCGGAGGTCATCACGCTTCTTGCGGCAATTCAGCTCCTACTCGCGAACCTCGCAGATCCGTGTCCCGGAGCCCTCCGAGGATGGCGGCGTCGATCAACGAGGCGAACGTCATGGTACCGATATCAGCGGCGTCAAAACCAAAGTGACGTTACGACGTGGACTATCAGCGGTATCAGCCTGTCCGACGATTTCCTAGATCGATCCAGTAGGATTCGCGTTAATCTAATCGATCGATCTTCATTGTCGTACGTTCATTCAGGCACGCGAGGCAATTAGTCGCGTATAGGAAATAGGAAGAGAAAGACGAAGCAATGCCGCCCAGAAATGACCCGACGAACGTCAGCTCTATCGTTGACATCGAAATAATTCCTACAAGCACGTTGTACGCTCTCCACGAATGCAGTTGAAATCGTGTAAGAGGACAATTTCCTAGCAACGATCAATCGGGGGAACGGTGTCCATCTAACGCGAGTCGTTTTACGTTATACGTCCTTAAAACCGAAACGACCGAATTTCCTCAATATCTTTTATCTCCGCTTCTTTTCATCGAAATCGACGTAGCGCGTGAGCGAATACGACTCGTCGATATTCTTCTCCTAGTCAATTAATAGATTAACACACGGCAGACGTCGCAGAGTAACGACGATGCGCATGTATATGTTTCGCGAGACTAGTCATTGTCGAAGGATGGAACGAGTCCATCGAGCACGCGCGATTAGGAGACTTTGCTCAAACATAGATTACAAATCGTCCTATGATTTTTCTAGCTACGTTACGTTGCTGGGATGTACAATGGGATTTTATAAATGGTATTTAAGGATCAAGAAGACACGCGATTATTCTATGTCACGATGGTCGCTTTATTTGTCTGCCCTCTTCTTCGAGCCGCCGCCGCCTCCTCCTCCTTGTATTACGTCCGCGAAGAGAGCCTTCGTCTTCTTTTCTCTTCCTTGCGCTTCCGTCCAATCCTTCTGGCTTCTTGCGAACAGCGGAACGTTCAATTTGTTCGAGATGATTTGTCCGGACTTCGTGGAACGCATCGACTCCCCCGCTGCCGCGAGCTCCTCCATGATCAATATCCTTTGATTCGTCCGGGCCCATTCCCATATTCTGTCCAAACATCTAGAGCCGTGGGTGCTGCGAGCTAAACGCGACCAGTGCCCTTTCAACTTTTTCCCAAGCTTCTCCCTGCTCTTCTCGCCGATGAATTCACTGTCCATGAACGCGTCCACGATGCGACTTCCTTTCGGGTCTTCGAGCAAGCGTACGAAGTCCTCTTCCTCCATTTCCAGCAACGAGTTCACTAATTTTATCGGTTTGTTGAATCTGAGAACGGCCTGTATCACCAAACTCCCGTGCAAATTGATCGATGTTTTCGCATCGACGTTTTCCTTCCGCGAGTTTTCCAATTGTTCGTACGTCTTCAGGCCTGCCATGCAGTTCGCCATTCGGACCTGTCTGTCGTTGCTCTCGCAATGAAGGGCTTTCAACAGATCTGTCAAGAACGCGCCCTGCTGCGCTCGAAGTCTTAAACAGGTGTTCGCCACGCTGACCAACACCCCCGTGTGACCCTTGTCGATGATCTCGGAGAAACACGTACGCAGTTCCTCGAGTATCTCTTCGAAATCTTCTTTCATGGTGCAGTGGTCCAGCAGCCTCTGCACGCTGAAGTTCGTGCCGACCGCCAACGACAGTCGCTTCAACTGGCCCGAGAAATAATTCTCGCGAATTTTGCTAAATGATTTCGGAGCCGCTACCGCCAAACAAGCCTCCAATAATCTGGTGGAGCACTCCGCGTCGAAAACGTTCGACGGCTCTTGATTCTTGCCAGGCTGGAAACAAGTGCTCGTAATTTTATCGATGTAAGCTTCGGCCACTTCCGGGAGCGCGTCCTTCGCAGAGTAGAGTACGCTCTGCAGCAGTCCGGACGTAAGCTCGTCTTGACCAAACTCGATGAACCGAGGCCAGTTGTACAATACATTGCACGCTCTGGATAACAATTCTTTGTATTCTTGCGTGACCGGTCGTCTGTCGGAGAAGATCATCTTCTTTCTGTCGACGTTCTCGGGCCTGTCAATCAGGCCACCGAGACACTCGAAGACGGTTCTTAAAAGATGATTCGCGTACGTGTCGAACGCGAACTCTTCCACGTTGTTGATTAAATATCTGCTCAGTTTCAACGCTGCATCGTTGTAACGGCATCGCTCCGATTCTGAAACCTCGGTTCCGTTTCCTCGGTCTGCGCAGACCAACAGGATCTTCTGCAACACGTGACTGGCAAATCTGTCGCTGCACAGTGGTCTCAAAGAAGCATTGAAAGCGTCTGTCAACCTTTGGATGGTCTCTAAACTCGCGTACTTCAATAACGAATCTAGTATCCTCGAGCCAACTTGATTCTTGGCATACTCTACTTCGTGACCGACGGTCTGTTCGTACACATTGTTCACGAACACAGACCTCTCCTTGCCAGTCGGAAAATCATTTTTCATTAACTCCAGAACGTGCACCATGTACTGATAAGTATCCGAGTCCACGTCCGAATCGTAATTCCTCTTCCTCGCGAACTTTTTCGCCATTTGAATGCGGGATCGTTTCTTCTTCCTCTTCCTACCCCTTTCGTCGTTCCCGTGATCATTCATCATTGTTCCGAAAGACCGTTACGATTCACGATTCTACGGAGTAAACAAAACGAACCTCTTTACTTTGCCCGTCCGTTCATGTTTCCACACGATCCACTCGCCTCGTTGCTCGTGGCGCCATCTAGCGTTCATGACCGCGAACCCACTTGGCTCTAATGTCTGCGACAATATTGGCTTGCTCGTCAGCCATGGCTAACAAATGGCCACTAGATGGCGCCACGTGCAACTCCAAAATCATTCGAGGTACGTGTACACAATCACAATGATCCGCGGAAATCATCATTACAGTAAATCAAGTAAATGATCAATTCGTATTTGTAGTTCGAAGATTTTTTTATTCATCTGTCTGTCTGTACTCGAACGAGAAAGAAAACTCTGCGATGGACGTAACAGCGAATGAATCGTGGAAGACACGCGCTTCTTTGGAACTCACTAGCCGTTTTCACGTGCCGTACGTAGGCTCGGATCGATCCAATTAATCGTGGAAAATTCTTAATTAGCGATAAACGAATATCTGTTAAAGGCCCCTTCGACTGCTATCACATGGCAAATATACAGAGGACCGTGTCGAACCGAGAGTTCTCATGATCGAGGACGATAAATTTATTCCTTACCCGATAAGAAGTATATATGTATTTATGTTTGCGTCGTAGTACATGAATTATGTATACGCGTATATTACATGGATAGAGATGAATCGTTGTTCCTCTGGACATTAAAAAAGTTCCGTGGACGAGCGAATACGATCACGCGTAGGATCATCGAGGAACGGTTGAATTTTCAATGTCTCCGTAATTAAATGAAATGTCACAGGTACCTTCGAGCATCAACAAGTCGTTCGCAACGGTGCGTAATTCAATTAGCACTCGTAGTACAACCACGTGTCGGTTGCGATTCGGTCTTTACCGATCTCGGCTTCAACCGACTCCTTTGTACGGCTGGTATCTGTATCCATACCGTAAGAGAGTTTACGATCGAGTAGTCGGCGAAAATGTTTCTGACGGGAAAACAACAAGACGCGATCGCTTCGGTCAAACAGCACCGTATTCTTCGCTGGAGGGTGATTCGTCGCTGGGAGGCGGCCTGGGCGGTCTCGGCGGTCTGGGAGGTCTGTGCAGATGCAGACTTGGCGCGGGTCTCCTCGGTGGCGGTGGAGGATGAGTTCCGTAGGAAGTGTCATCGCCTTCCTCGCTACTGGGCGAAGGAGACGGCGCCCTGTCCTCCTGCTCTTGTAACAGTTGTCGAAATTCTTGAATCGATTCATTCAAGGACCAGAGCTGAGCGAGTAGGGAGAGGTCCAATTGCCGAAGTCCAAACTGCAACCGAGGCAATAAGACATCTATAGTATACAATGATGGTAACGTGCGCTCCTTCGAGCAGGGCTCCGAGTTCACCGGGCAGGGATTGACCCGGCGTGGGAACAAAGGTGGAGACGGCTAGGTAGAAGCCGTGCGACATGAAATGAGAGTGGAAACGGGAGGTGTCCGAGAGGCGCAGAGAAAGAGGGGACAAGCAGGGAAGAAGCAGGAAAAGAATGAACGTGAAAGAGAGCGGACAGAAAAAGGAATCGAGAGGAGGGGAGTCACGCCTGAGGGAATGCAGCGTGGGAGCGGCTGTGCCAGTTCGCTCCGCGTGTCGATAGTTTGGATCGACTGTTTTTAAACCAGTGGTCAGCGAGTCCAGCGAAAGGCATGTTTTCGAACACGTTCGACGTTCAGCATCTATCGTGCGTGGCTCGAGATGGGCCTTCGTAATTTCGTATCTAGCCTGTTGATCTCTAATACTGGCCGAGATGAGGGAACAAAGATTCCGCGACGCGACATGACGCAGCGGACGACACGCAACGTGTACTACACGTATGCGCACGCTTCTCTCTCTCTCTCTCTCTCGAGAGAGAGAGAGAGAGAGAGAGAGAGAAAGAGAGAGAGGACTCCACGCTTCGAATACGAATACAAGTATTCGCGGCAGTCGCGACGGTATGCGTAAGCGCGTAATCCAGTTCCAAGGTAACGGAACGACGACGAATCGAATCGATGACAAATTCGAAGCAACGGGAAGAATGAAACGACAATTTCTATCTTGTCTCCACGTTTCCGTGAACGCGAGATCGCTGACGTTTCAATTTTGTTACCGTTCCATTTATAGAAATGTTCCGTCGTAACTCGCGACTTCGTGGAATTTTCCGACGTATAATTACGAGCACACTAGTAAGTAGCGGCCACATAGACAGTAGGAGCCGCGAGCAAGCGAAGGAACGAGTTACGTCGTCGATCGTGTCGAATCTAACAACTAACACTCGCGTTCGTACGAGTAGGTATCATTGACAAAAATTTTTAGGCAATTACCATTTCTCTTCTCAATATAGCCAACTGCGTGTCCAAAGTGGTCAGCTGCCTAGCGGGTGGCGACGGCCTGGACGAAGATTGAATTGTAGCTTTACCGCCCCTTTGCGTTTTACTGGAGGATCTAGCGGGTGGCGGTGGTGGTTCGCAACTTTCGCCTCGACCACCGCTTAAATTGAACCCGCTCAGGCTCCTCGGTAACGGTGGCAGACCCTGAAGTGACGACATCGCGATTCTCTCTTGTATGCTGGAAAAGACGAAAGTTCAAGGATAATGCGAGTTAGAAACGAAACGATCGTCGAACGTGGAGGGTCTCGCGCGTGGAAAAAAGAAGGGACGGAGGATTACGGAACGGATCCGATATCCTATTTTTCTAGCTTCGTTATGATGTGTTTTGTCACGCGATTAAATCGTTACGGTAAAAGTCGGATCGTGTAACTCGAGAAAGTCGTGCATGGAACCACCGGGCACGATACGGCACGTTGCACGTAACAAATCGGTCAGTTAATAGCTCGGAGGATCCTCGAAGGACAAACGAAGGCTTCGAGCTACCTCGGGACGTTATCGAGATTCGCGAGCTTCTCGCAACGATCGAGCCCGTTCACACGATCCCCGTCGACGACGTCGCCGTCCTCGTCGCCCGTCAGCCTGATCTGCGTGGAAGAATATCGGACCCCGGCTTCTAGCCAGTCCTGTCGATGAATATTATCGTTCTCGTGGTCTCTCTCCTGGTCGCGATCACCAACGCCACCGCTGCCGTCGTCCGACGCAGGTTTATGATGCGGTTCGTCGTCGACCACGACCACCGTCGTTCGGTCAACGCTCGAGACCGAATCGGTGTCGTCGTTCGAACTATCGCCGCCGCCGCTGCCGCTCTTCTTCGCCGCGTCCGACGACGAGTCGCCGAGGACGAGAGACGATCTTTGAGATGGCATCGGTCGCGTAGGGTCGTCGATCCTGTGCGCCATTCTCTCGGTAGGCTCATTTTTCTTCGACACATCGTTCAGAGATGACGCGCTCGTCTCGGAGGACGAGTTCGCGACTTCCTTCGCGATCGTTTCTTCCCCGGCTTCCTGTTTCGACTTTTCGTTCACCGACGATGCGTCAGTGATAGCCGATCGATTCGTGGCCTCGGGCCACTCGGCACCCTCTTCCTCGCGGCAGGAATCGCTCGGTTCGTTCGCGTTCCCCTGTTGCTCGGCCGCGCGGTGCCACTTTTCCCGCGAATTTCCATGCCGCGAATCGCCGTCCTCGTCCGCGTGCCTTTCACTCGCCGATTTCGGAACGCGGCCTCGTCGACTCGTGGGATCGTTACTCTCGTTCGGAGCCGACTCGTAAACGACCGTCCGACCGATCTCTCGTCGATTCTGCGGTCGATCCGGACGTCGACTTTCCGAGGACTTCCAGGGTCTCGTGTTGGGCGGCGGCGGTGCCTGCCTGGTCGGACACGGCGGTCTCGGTGATTTTTTTAAAGCTTCGGCGACCACCTGTCGACTCGGTCGCGGCGGTACCGGCGGCGGGTGAGGTCTCTGCGTCGCAGCCAACTGCATTTTATATCCGTCTTCTCTACGCGGCCGTGTGTGTACGCTTGTCCGTACACGCGCGCGATAACGACTATCTCTCGACGATTATCCTCGCTCTCGCACTTGTCCCATCATCACCGATAAACGACGAGATTCCGGAACGTACGGAACTTGACTACTTCGAACGCGCGAACCTAAGCGTCGCCGGAGTCATCACGCGTTTCGCTCGATGCCAACTGTTCCGATTCAGCGACGTTTCTCGTACTTTTTCTCTCATTCGAACGTTTTGTCGATTCCCTCTGGAACATGCGATACTTGGGATTTACTTCCGCGAGCACCGCAACGATCAACGGACTGTAACGGCACCCGATCCTTTCTATCACGGCCTTCTCCACCAGCTCGAAACGTTTCAGTTTCAATTCGTAGATCGTGAAACAGTGGAAATTCTTGGTCCACGGTATCGTATCCGATCTTCCCCCTTTATCCCCTTAGCCTCTCGAGCGTCGGACGCTCGTCAACGGTGTGCTTCACGGCGGTGTGGCGACGCGACGCGTTCACTCAATTTCTCTGTGTTACCCGGTGAACGGACCGCCGCTGACTGACTTCGCGATCCCACAAACATCCTTCGCGATCGAGAGACCACGTGACTGGTTTCGAGCTCGGAACCGTGGCTCGAGTTCTCGGGCATCAGGTAGGCCAGGTAGCGTTCACGCATTACTACTACCTTTGCACCTCTGCTCCTACCTCTCCCGACTCTTACCCGTAGATCGTAGATCAGCGTTCGCGACCAACGAGAGGACAACGACGACGACGACGAACCGATGGGCTCGAACCATCTATGCCGCTCGTGGGTATCACTCGACACCAACTCCTCTCGCTAATTATCTTTTGTCATACGATTCGAGCATGGGGTACCCCTAGGCAAAATCTCGGAAAAATTGAATTTTTTTTTTCGCCGAAATTTCGCAAAATACTTCAAATAAAAGTTGTACGTACTACTATTACCTACAAGGTCGTATATAATTTTTTTCTACCTTAAATACTTCAGGAAAAATCTCGGAAAATTGAAAAATTTCTCTGGCAGTCGATTTCCGAACGTATCGAATTTTTTACATCTACAAGGAAACGATCGAGAATACCTAAAACGCTTTGGATCTATCGCTACTCGCCAGCGATAGATATACCCATATACCTATCGTACGCACACTAACAGCGATCAACCAACGATCAGCCAACGAGTCGCTAGCGAGAGAGAGACACTGAAGATGAAGGGGGGGCAGGGATAATCGTGAGCAAAGGAAGTCGGAGAGGCAACTAATGGAAAGAACAGAGAACGAACGAGCAAAAGACAGGACGAGAACGATCGCCGGGCGTGCATGTGTGCGCACGTTACGAGTCTTACAAGGTGGAACAGAGACGGAACACGGAGATGCAGAGGACGGGACGGGACGACGTAACAGCAGAAGAAAGGAAACGATCGCGCGAGCAGAGATTCGACTTCGAAGTAGGATAAACATAAGAGAGACAGCTCAGATATGAACGAAAACCGGAACCGAAATAAAGCTAAATCGATTTTGAAAATACGTAGTGCTATCTTAATTGTTACTGTCGATGAATGGACATCGGTGTATTTCTCGAATTTCGTTCACGCTCTGTTTCCTGACTGACACGGAGCCACCACGGGCGGTCTACTTTCACCGTAATTCTTCGATCACGGGAGCCGAAACGATGCGTTTGCACGAGACCATTGCATTACGCGAACAAATACGTACGTGCGTATACGGTGTATGAAGCAGGATTGGGAAATAAAATATTTGCTCCCGGAAATCGAGCTCCGAGCGACGTTAATTAAAAAATAATAATAATTGGCTGATCAAACGGAACGATACAACAAGAGTTTCTCCGAGGGTATCGCGTTCGCAGAATGACGTTACGTAAATTGGCGAGGCAAAAGTTCGTAACGCGTCGATTCTCATTAAAAGCTTCGTCTCGCCGTAGTTTCTGGTTTACCGCGGAACTGAATCATTCTCCTAAGCGATCTCCTAACGCCGAACGATCTCTGCAAAAATTCAGGGGACCCGACGAGCGTAGAGGAGCATCGTTGACGAATCGATTCATCGATGAGACTGAAATTAATTACACGCTATACATACATCACGATCACTGCTTCGGGGTCCAACGATATCGATTAGATTACCTGATTACTCGTTACGCGGTGACGATCATTAGATTCTCCAAAAACCAGTTACTCCTTGAACTTCCATTCCTGGCGACACATCGGACATAGGTGACTGGTTTGCTGAGAGTGCAGCCACTTCATGATGCAGTGTATGTGGAAACAATGCGAGCATTGGCCCCAGACTGGAACATCATCGGGACGATATCGGGTTTACGATAAAAGACGCGCTTCTTACTTCGACCCGTCGCGAGTACCGGGCGCACCTTGTGTCATCGCCGACGATACCTGGTAAATTGTTCGTTCGTTCGTTCGTTCGTTCGTTCGCCGCCGCGTTTACACATCAACACGCACGATTCAACGCCGGGGCATGCCGATCGATACGCTCGGTGGACACGCGATTGCGCACTGTCTTTCTCGGCATTTACCAAGTATCTCGAACGATTGATCCGTCGATCATGTGCCTTCATACATTTTCATAAATACTCACGCTCTTACGTTTTCAATAAGCTACACGTTCCCAACAATTGCTACGAGACCGTTCTCAATAGATCTATGTGATTATACGTGTACACTAACTGTGCACACGACGAATTTAGGTAATTGTTTACGAGTCTACGTTGTACAGCAATGAATGAAAACTGTTCATGATCTGTCGGCGAAAAAATGAAACGTGTGACAACTTAACGACTCACCTAGAGGACAATCGTCTCCAGGAATCTTGCAATCGGGACAACTAGCATCGAAAGGCATTCTACATATTCCGCAATTGTCATCGTTAGCTATCCAACGCCAGGTGGCAACGCCAGTCCAATCTACGAACATGTTCCCTTTTATTTTTAACGTTGCTCACTTTTGCTTCTGCGTGCGTATGTCACGTGAAACGTGTAAATAAACGCGAAACAAGAGACTAGACTCTCAAACGATTGAATCAAATCTGTACGAATATACGCACGTACTGTTGGCTTTATACCGGTTTAAACACTTACTTTTTATTGTTACCTTCATTTCATGTGCACGATCAGGGAACGATATATATGTTAACTGATATTATTGTGACAACATGGAATTAAACGCGGAACATTTTATGTTCTACGAGCACACGGTTATTTGCGTACAAGGCTGTTTAAAAGGGTGAACCAGGGTGAACTCGAACGCCGGTAGGTTACGGTTACGGTATGACGTGATAACGGTGATAACGCGGGACACGACCGAGCAACACGAGCCAGTTCAGCCAGTCGAGGTCGAGGTCGAGATTGGTCGATTCAAGGCGATCTCTATGAGGCTAGTCGAGGAGGTATCAGACCAGACCTATTCACTAGTGACGGCCGGAACTGCTACTTTTGAATCACTCGTGATTTAATCACGTTCATTCCCAATCACGGTGATTAGAATTGGAAGCGTCCCGTTTCTAAGCTTGCCATCTCTACTATTCACTATTCCTCGACGCACGGCACGGCGGCGCTGTGATCGAAATTTCTCAAACCATACAACGTATACTATACTCGTGTAGAAGAATTCATGTCAATGTTGTTAAATGTTGAGATAATTAATCGCTTGTCGAATATATTTTACTGAAATGACTTCACAATGGTTATGGTATGGTAGAGCGAGAATTGTAATAATGTGTGTACAAGAACTTGGATGAACTGGACTGAAAATTAACTTTTTACTACACAGGATGTATGCAAAAGTTGGCCGTTGCAATTTAAGAGTACTCATAAAACGATCTCTCTCTACAGCTACCCGAACCGAGACTGGCAACGAATTGATATTACTTGATCGCAAATATTCGATCGATAAATGGACAAATATTACCGAGAATATAATTTCCAAAGTGGGGAGAAACTTGCACGTTACTCCTCATCATCCACTGTCTCACATCCGCCAACGAATCGTCAATTATTTTTACATGCAGTTCCACAATCGTATCGGAAGTCCTATATTCAGCGTTTACGATAATATTTCTCCTATCGTCAGCGTAGATCAAAATTTTGATTCTCTTCTGGTACCGAAAGATCATCCGAGTAGACAAAGGAGCGAGTGTTATTATATAAACCATGATACTTTACTAAGGTCCCATTGTACCGCTCATCAGAAAGACTTCATTTCGATGGGATTGAACAATTTTCTCGTAATAGGAGATGTCTACCGTAGGGATGAGATAGACAACAGGCACTATCCTATTTTTCATCAAGTAGATGCCGTCAGACTATGCACAGCAGACGAACTGTTTCAAAATGTAAACAATTCACACGACTTGAAATTGTTCGAACACAGAGGCGTCGAGACGAATGAGAAACAAGCTTGCCACAGTTTGGAAGCTACAAAGATGATGGAGCACGAGTTGAAAAATGCTTTAACGGGCTTGGCAGAGACGCTCTTCGGATCGGGTGAGTCGCGATGGGAAGAATGATCGTTTCGATACGATCAGCGAAATTTGAACTGTTTGGTTTTGGTTCAGAGCTCAAGTGCAGATGGGTAGAACAATATTTTCCCTTTACTCATCCATCGTGGGAGTTGGAAGTTTATCATCAGGACGAGTGGCTCGAAGTGTTGGGATGCGGTATCATGCGGCAGCAGATCCTACAGAATTCAGGCGCGGGTGAACGCATTGGATGGGCATTTGGATTAGGTTTAGAAAGATTAGCCATGCATCTGTACGATATTCCGAACATCAGATTATTCTGGAGCAACGACTCTGGCTTCTTGAATCAGTTCAAAGTCGAAGATATCAACGCAACGATCAAATATAAGGTAACGTCCGGACGATGACAAGATGCGCGTAGGGAGTGCGAATGTAAGCATTGAAATTGATCTTTCGCAGCCGATCAGCATTTATCCTCAATGTAAGAACGACATTAGCTTTTGGTTACCCGAGGACAGAAGTTACTCGTCGAACGATTTCTACGATCTGGTGAGAGAAATAGGCGGTGACAGAGTGGAGCAAGTCATCTTTAAGGACGAATTCGTGCATCCAGAGAGCAAAAGGGTGTCTCACTGCTACAGTATAATATACAGGCACATGGAACGCACGTTATCCAAACGAGAAGTCAACAACGTCCACAAATTGATAGGCAAGACTGCCCAGGAGCAATTAAATGTTACGGTTAGAGCATGATAGGAATAAAGATCGATTAAAAGATGGACTCTGGCATATACACGACGTATACCTATGACAACATCCAATGACGCAAAGACCGTGGAATAGAAACTTGGATACATTCATTTTCCTCCTGATTAACACGTTAAATGCCACGCCAATTTTACAGGGATTGTCCGTGGCGCCACGATGAATTTTCTATTATGCGATATATATATAATGTTGAAATATTATCTGCATAGATAAGTTACAGTGTATAACAATGTTTGACATATTAATTGCGACGGGATCACCGGTGACCCCCATGGCGTTGGAGAGCGATTTCGCGAAGTATTGTCATTTGTTTAAATTATATATATTTCTATCAATCTGGACACACCGGTCACCGGTGGCCCCCATGGTGTCACTGCCAAGTTGAGTGCCGGTCACCGGTGACCCCCGTGGCATTCAACGTGTTAAGTAATTAAAAACGTGTCGTGTCGATCGAAATAATATTTAATTAAAAATAACTGTACGCTCTATAATATGATACATCTTATCAACAGTCTATAATACGTGACTAACACATGTACATAATTTAACAGTTACGTCTACGTCTACGATCATTCTTTTTCTTCGATAATTTTTCAAATACGCACACGATGTATTCTGTAAAAATGGATTTTATAACATCTTGTGTCCGCGTAATGATTAAACTATATCACGATTATTCGGAATAACAAAATTCTGTTCGAAGTATAAAAGAGAATCTATCGAAGTAAATTAGCGCAGCGAAGAGAAAAATGTCAGCATTCGATTTATAAAAATGATTTATTAGACAAGTTTGTTGAAAAACTGCCAAGCAACGTATCATACTCGTGATTCGTCGATGATTCACTCGCCTTACGCACGTGATAAATATGAAAATACTGCTGGGCACGTTCGGATAATATATATAATAATATAGTTTAATACGAACGAGGCGAATAAAATGCAATAAATCACGCGAACATATTTTATGGACGATACCATAACGATGTCTCGCTTCTTAAATAAATAAAAACGCCTATCTCGACCGATTTCCGTTTGATCGTAGGAATTTCGTGTCACCCTGTCGGTTTAAGCGATCAGAAGCAAGCTTGCTTAAAACGATGTATATGAAAACAACGATAACAGTAAACGCGAAAAAACTGCACGAAGTCAATTGGAACGTCGTACGGAACGTTCGTGAGATTAGATCCAGTTCTTTCGTTCGTTCTTAATGGTAAATCAGAAATGTTTAGTATGGTACGCCGGTATGGAGAAAGAAAATTAGTAGTTTGTAGTTTTGTTTTTTGTTATCGATGTAGTCGGTGAAACATCGGGGAGACCATTTATTACAGACGAGATCCGAATAAAAAATTGCGGATCTCTTCATTAATATTTCACCGTTCAGAGTTTTTTCGAGTTTTGTATATCACAAAATTAGTTTTACGTACCGTGATCGATGTATAAGAAACGGAAGGTTTAAGATAATTTCGTGTAACTAGGAGGAGAAAACTTTTTCCGTAAGAATTTCAAGATGTACAACGGCATGCAAGAAATCAAAGTTATCAGCAGTACTTTCCATAAAAAGTCGGTGGTCTTGATGAACTCGGCGTCTGGAAAGAAGAAAACATTTGAGCATGAAGAATATTATTAGAATTCGTCCGCGACGTTACACGTACGTACCGAAGTAGTCTTTGAGAACGACCAAGGATAATAAGTAGAGCGCCAACGAAAATATTTCCGCGAGTATCATGATGTGATGCCACGTTCTAATCGTCAGAGCCACCATTATTAATTCCGTTAATACGAGTGCCGTGAAACTAATGGCCACTATGTGAATGAACTCGTCCTCGAACATTATAAGAGCGCCGTACATTATAACTCCGCCTGAACAATTAAACGGTTCGTCGTTACACGAATCGATGGTATTAACAATGACGACGACCACCACTTACCTTGATATATGCTTATTAAGATCCACATGAAGAACGTTTTATAGGACAACGACCGTCCTTTACTGAGTTCTTTATAAAGTTCTGGATAAGTAAGCGCGATCTTCCCTGACACGTCCTTGTCCAATACCAAGGAGAACACGGGAAACATGGTATATATCGTGCCGTAACTAAAATCACGAAACTTGATTACTGGACTATTCGTTTTGTGTCGTATTTACGAGCCGTTCGAATCGATCGTTCGACCGTACGTACCCGACCATTAAAAATCCCTGATACAAGGACACAGAGGATAAATAGAAGACAGCGGAGAAGACAGCTTGCATGGTAGAAATGATCAAACCTCGATGAATGACGAACTGACTCAAGGCGGCGGATCTCTTGTAACTTCGACGGCCGTGAACCAGCAACAAGTTGGTCAAGTGACTGAATTGAGAAATGGAGAAGTCCGCGGCCAACGATGCTTGTCGTCCCTCCAGACCCTCGAGGCCTATGCCTAAAGTGAGAACGATCCATTTATTTCACGTCATCGATCGGAAGATCACGGATTTATAATCGCAAGAAATAAGTTACCAGCGTCCGCTGCTTGTATCATCGATACGTCGTTGCCACCATCGCCGACAGCTGCGGTTCTTTTGCCGGTGTGTCTTTGAATGAGACTGACGACTTCGGCCTTTTGGGTGGGCGAGCATCGGCAACAGACTACGGCCGGCGAACCGCAGGCCAGTTCCAAGAACTCCTGTTCGTAGTATTGTAGACACACTTCCAAGGAATCACCGCTGATGACTAAGGCACAGTCTTGCTTCTTACGAAACGTGTTTAATTCCAAGTGCGCGTCCGTGCGCGTTACCACCGACTTGAAAACGTGAAGGCCTTGCGCTCGGGAAACTAGACACGAGGATTTCGCTATACACGTTGCCGTTTCCAATTTGTCACCGGTCAGCATCCAGATCTTGATACCGGCGTTCCTCAGCAGTTCCAACGTGTGTCTCACCCTGTCTTGCAGCCTGTCCTCGACTCCGGTCACGCACAATAATTCCATTTCCCTTTCTAAACTCTCGAGAACAGCGGTGACTCTCGACGCGCGATCGCTCACGCTCATCCGCGCCGCATTGTATCTAGCTTCGAAATCGAGATACTGCTCCTCCGTCAAGTTCTTCTTCGCCATCACCAAAGTCCTCAGACCTTCCCGAGCCATGTTACCGCATTCCTCCTCCAGCCAGTCGTTGTACTGTACTATCCCGGACATCACTAAGTCGGCGCCTTTCAAATAGAACACTATCTCGGAACTCGATTCCTCTTTTACTATTATTCCCATACGCTTGGTCTCGGACTTGAAGGGAAATATTTGCAATATCGTGTAGTTCAAGATCTTCCCATTGGGAGCTTTCAGCTGCATGAAATTCAGATCGCGCTTTACCAACGCCAGCCCCATTTCCTCTGTCCACTTGACCAGTGCCACTTCATCCGGACTGGACGCTTGGTAATTACGCTTTTGATCCGGCAGGTAGTAATGCTGATCCGCTTCCGTTTGACTCTGAATAGAACCCGAATCTCCCGTCTCTCCAGTTTGCACGCTCATCGTGTCGAGATTCGTCGACTTAGACACCTCGTCGTAAACCGGCGTCACGTTGTGACACAACGCCAACGCATGTACAGCGTCGTATATCCTCGTGCTCTCGGACCTTCTTACTTTACCACTGTGCGCCGATGCCGACGGTCTCATCGGCGAGCCCTCGGTATTCGTCGAGTAACAGGTTTTCAATACGGCCATGACTTCGTCGAATGTTTCCTGACCGTAAGAGATCATACCCAGATGCAATTTCTTGAAGACCATTTTATTCTGCGTCAAAGTCCCGGTCTTGTCGCTCAACAAATATGAAATACGACCGAGTTCCTCAGGTATCGTTGTAGTTCTCACAACGGTCCCAGCTATTTCTTTATCCCTTTGTATGCACCATGCGTAAAAAGCTTTACCCATGTCCAAATTTACCCGCAGACTGATCGGTATTATGTAGGAGAACAGCAAGACGAAGCGAAACATGTAACGGTACCAAGGCCCGTTGAACCCTTTCAAAGACATCATCACCAACGCTAATCCGATCACGGCGCAGAACAACACCTACGAAATTGATTACGCGTCTCGTTTATCAAATTGAATCTTCACTTCAGAGCGAAAGCAATTATACGACACCTTCGTCAACTGATTTATCTCTTGATCCAAAAGGCCGACTTTCGACCTCGGCGCCGAATGATTCATCAGTGATCTGGTTTCCTGGCCGGTGTATACCACGACACCGAGTGCCGAGCCGGATGCGATAGCCGTGTTTGCCCATAGAGTATTGTCCACTCCCAAGCTCTCCTCGCTGCTGTATCCGTCGTACTGCGAGACAACGATAACATCCAACTGACTCTTCGATCAGGCTTAAAGAGAAAGAAGTGGCGCTAAAGCGAAAGAAATTTACCCTCGTAAACGTTCCGATGAAGCTGTGAATATCTTTTTGCGGTTTCTCCACGTACAAGCTCGCTTTTATATCGAAAAGTTGAGCGTTAGTCTCCAACTTCTGAGTAGCTGGTACGGCCAGTCTCAATTTCCAATCCGTTTCTCCGTCCAATTGGTCGGTCCTCACGAAGCAAGCACCGGTCTTCTCCGTGGTTCTCAAAAGGACCAAATCTGCCGGCACCCTCTGACCTTTTTCCACGATCACCTTCGGGAAGACACGAACGTCGGAAACACACTACATACGAGTACACCCTTTCAGCATGACCAGGATCGTATTTTCAATATCTTACCAGGTCGCCCACGCGCAACTTGGAACTCGACACCATCTCCGGAGTGTCCAGTCCCTTTACCAATCTACAGTACTTTTGTGCGTTCACTTCCTTGTCTCTTTTGTATCTTCTAAAATCATCTATAGCTTCCCGGCAAATCGTAACGGTTAACACGAAGCACAACGGCCCCCAGTACGTGTACAAATATCCTATTCGTATGTCTGGTATAAATTGGGATATCGCCATGAGCAAGAAGTACAGATTTAAGAAGAACTTAAATTGTTGAAAGAGAACCTGAGGGATGAAACGACGACTTTAGTCTGTGTTACTCATAGACAGTTGATCACGGCTCTTACCAAAGGTAAAAACGTGACGACGTTGTACTTTTGATTTCTAATGACATTGGTTGGAAATTTTTCGTGCATCGGTTGACCGATGTGAATGACCCTCGCTCTTAATTCGCGTTGTCTGCAGCACCTCCTCCACATCCACGTACAACATCTGAAGGGACAATATTGAGGATGTACATGAATATACACGAATGAAATTTATCATTGTCGTCGCGTTCTGCATCGTAATTTTCGTATCTATCAGCGATCGTGGGGTATCGAACCGATGAAAATCCTGATCGTACTTCGGACGCGAGTAAAACGCGGTCATGGATCGAAACGAATATATTTCATACGGAGATCTTACGCACGGATTGCACCTGACGAGGAACGCGTTCATCACAGGCTTCATGTCCGCGGAATCAAGTTGGAAATTAACAACGCTGACAACGACGGTTGTGTATCGTGATACTATGGGAACTATGGAAAGTGCGTAAAACGTCATGTACGTCACCTTGACCAAGAGTTGTCGTTCCGTGGTTTAGATATTAGCGGAATATCTTCTTTCGACAGCCTTATAACATTGCTCTGCGTCTCCATTTCGATCGTTTCTCTTACGAACCATAAGCATTTAAACTAAAGTTATTATTCGCGTTTTGACACTAGGAAACACTGTTGAAAATATTTCCTAGTCGAAGTTTGTTACTCCGGAGACACAGTCACGTCACGGCAATGACATCATAATAATGATAATAATAACCCGGGAGTCACGGAGCAAGCGGTTACGAGACGCGAAACGCCGTGCATCTACAATATTTATTTCACACATCTCATCACATCGTTTTTATAATTCATAATATTTTATTATTATTATTATCATCATCGAAGTCCATAAAAATAACGATTTACAATTTCATCGCGTCGTCTATGATTTATTCAGTTTGTATGAGGTTATATACTTATATACAACAGTTGAAGTTGAACAGCGAGCCGATGATCGGAAAGAGAACTTACCCACAAAAACAATTCCTAAGGAACATGGAGCAGTCGTTTATTCGTCGCCTTCGCAACGTTAACAGTCGTATACTATCTTCGGAAGGTTGCAGAAGATAGTCGGTCTCCTCGTCCATTTCAAAATCCCGCTCTTCCGAGCTTAAACGCAGTGGCATCTCTTCCAATCTCATACTCTTGGTGGAATTCATTCGACAAATTTTCTTTCTGCAGTTTTGTCACGAACACGGCTTTACTATTATTAAACAATATTATCGTTATCGCTACGCCATTAGGTATTAGTCAGCCGTTAGCTAATTATCTTACGCAGCGTTCATTGTTTACGTTTACAATTCGCAGCTACGTACGCGACCACAGACACGCACCGTAACGTATGTATACGTATGTAGGCACGTATACGTACAAAACGTTCGTGTGCATACGCTGCGTCACTGCACATACACACATATGTATTTACTATTGTGACAGGCACAGTTCAGCTGTTCCGGTGACGAAACATATACAGTTACAGATATGATTCTAACGTTATTCGCGACGGTCGCACGATATCGATATCAACTGATCATCGTTAGCGTCAATGCGCGTGTAGACAGAGACACGCGTACATCGTACACACATACGTACGTGTCCTTCTATTTTCTGTTTCGTCGGTCATCAAGTGGTGCCGGAATTTCCGATCAACATTCGCCTCCTACGATCTCTCAATGACCATACTAGCGAAGTGACACATCTTAAGGAATGATTCAATGATAATGTTCGTTTACGAAATTCGTGTAACCGTGCAACCCATGACCCATTCCTGTGCACATGCACACTTTCCTATCTACGAACGTACGCGTACGCATACCGCGAGACGATAAAACTCGGACCGACCGAAAAAAATGGTAGTTATCGTCGAACCTTCGAGTCATCTCGTTTTATGACGAGGATCCAATCAAAGCTGACAGAGGAGATTCCAGGGATGTTTCAACTAATCGTAAATCGACTACGCGCGTAACGTGTATCAACAGCATGTATTTAATCGCGATCGCGATACCCACACCCCGGGTGCCCCGAGCCGCCGACTGGCGCTAGTTGGCTGGCTGGCATTGGCATTCCTATGAGCGCGGCCATGTCATCCAGTATCCGACGATCACGTGGTTCCGCTATTCTCAAGGCACATGCGTGACGGTAAATTTCGTCGAACTTCGAACCGGGAACAAACATCTTCTTATCTCGAGGCGAACAAATTTTTCTCTTCATTTTGATTCTGTTTTTCATATTCGCCCACCCGACTACGTACCCGTTCTCTTTCCGTATTAACAACGACGACTTTCAGCGTTCGCCGCATGATTCCAACACGTCTTTGCTTTAGATTCAGCATCTCTGCGCTCCACAGGTTTTAGATGAGCTGCATTTACCTGCGGGTAATTAGATCTCAGACAGATGCGTTCGACGACAAGTAACAACGGCACATTTCCACGCGAAACGAGAACCTTACTATTTGTCTAAAGTGCTCGTACGTAGGTACATTCTGTTCCATTGCTCTAAGTTTAGCGTCGTTCCGTAATTTGTACAGTTCGTCAGCCTTGACAGTCTCTTCGAGTTCTGACTCTAAACTTTTATAATTTATAGCCATTCGTAATTTACTCATGTCCGCGGTATATTTCCCGAAACGTTTCGTCAATTCACCAGATTGTTCGCGAGTCGCGATTACAGTAAGAATAAATGACAATAGTCTTGTTATCACGGTTTCCATAGTTTCCTACGGTTGCCGCAGATACGGTCGGACGTTTCGTCAATATCTAAGTCCAAACTACAGATACGACACAATACTGACACCAACAGTGGGTGGTCGGTCGACTACACATATACAGATACACGGGGACTATCGCAAACGATGTAATTATAAAATTACAGTTTCGTGAGCTTCGGACGTTATCGACTTTTCTTTCGCTGCTTTCATCTGCCTATTTTTGCACAATCTGTCGTGAGTTCTTTTCATTTCTAAAATTTCCTTCATCTCTTCTTTATCCTCTTCCTATAAATACACGTTACGTATCAGCAGCAGTGGCAACAGCAGCATCGGAATACATACTATTATAAACATTTATTTATTTTTTTTACCGATTGACTCAGGCGAAGTACCAACGCTCTTCGACCATCTGACATCGGCTGCGAATAGTCCATTAATTTCTTCAACCTTTCCTGTGGACTTACACCTCTTTCTACCACCAAGACGATACGCGCCCACTGAAAATCAAACGATCGGAAGACAGGATTCGACGAGGGATAAAGTAACGAGCCGAATAAGTAGCGAAAAGAGAATGTAACGTACTTGTCGTTGCCATTCGTTTCTTGTTTCCGCTATTTTCTGATACGTATTTCCCATCATGGCGATCAACATGTTTACAAGTAAAATCGCAACAATCGCCATGTATACCACGAACATAAACTGTGAAGAATCAACACAAAGTGAATAATTAACACTGGGCGGACGAAAATCTCCCCATCAAAGGATCATCACCTTTCCTTCCATTTCGTGTTCCGTCCTCTCGAAAGCGCCGTAGTAATCGCCAAAGTTCGTCATGCTCATTAGAAACATCGCCATTATACTTTCTACCGGCGATGGCATCGGATTGCTCACCGAATCGTCGACCCCCTCCGGTGTGTTAGGATTATCAAAAGATAAAAATATAATGTAGTACGCTGGAAGCATAAGAGATCGATGGGGCTCTTAATTTGAACGCCCGTTGGACGAAAAGCAGTTGCTCATCGTACGAGTTGGTAAATATAAGATTGGGACGATGCCAGCGATGTTTCCATTACGTTTCACGGTGGAAGACTCTCCAGCAGAGGCTCTAATGAAATCTGTGTCAATGTCGCCTGCTGTGTGGCAAACCGGGCAGACGATTAAGTCATAAGGCAAGCTCGTATCATCTGTCCGCGCGCTATCGTTCTAGCCAAGTGTAATAAGTATATGTGTACACGCGTACTTTGGCTAACGACTACGAAGAAAAAAAAAGAGGCGTCATCGACGTACTCACTCGCCATTCGCGCATTTTTATTTAATCGACCGACTCGCTCGATCCGTCCGATCGCAGCTTTTATTTTTATCCGTGATCCGCCACGTCCCGAAGCGTGCCGTGATGCGTCTATTATCGTATGCCAAAAGTTTCAGGTCAAGGGAGAACAGCGATCGTGACAGAATCAAAGATCTCCCCGACGACGTGTAGCCACTGACAAGTCGTTCCCCCTGCTCCCGTAAACGACAGACCGCCAACACCGCCCCCGCCCCGTCTCTGAGACCAGACAAATATCTTTTTAGTTACCTTGAGAGAATCCCATCACAAATACCAAGTAGATGGAAACGAAACGCAGCAGATCGCCCATGATCATTCTATAGATCATCACAACGAACGGACCGACGGTCTTGAAGCCCCTACAGAAGAATAAAAAGTACGGTGCCGTAGTTAACATTACGACCACCGCTAACATGTCTTCCACTTCATCGGCGCAGTTCAATCTCAAGAATGGAAAAGTCTGTAGGATGCAACAGGAGAATAGAAACATTACTCGCGACGGTGCAGTCATCTGAAAGCGTGGTCATCGTAATTACTTCCGTTATACTCTGTCTGCGGATGCGGCAATCCGTCGATCAAAAATCCTCGATGTAACGCGATCGCGCGAGACTCACTAGATTTTCAACGAACATGTTCAAGCCTAGGAATCTGGCTTCTCTGAGCGCCGCGACGATGTAAAGAGCAGCTGCGACTTCCATTACGATCTCGGCGGTCAGTCGAATCTTCGTTGAGAACGTGGTCAGCTGCATCAGCCTGCACTCTTCGGTGAGGTCGTTCCACCTAATTTCAACGACAAACGAGCCGGTAAAAAAAATACAGTTTGGCCAGCTATCATCGGAGAGTCGGACGGATCGTCGCCCAACCGCGACGTACCAGTCGTGCTCGTTATTGTCACGAGGTAACGGCGATGATGTGTTCACGACATCGAGGAATCTCGTCGTGGAATTCACGTAAGCGAGGGATTCGTTGATCATGATCTTGAAATAGTTCATCGATCGTTGCTCGTCGCCTCTGTCCTCGTAGGGTTCGACCGTACGAGAATGTAGAGACGATTCGTAAGAGTAGTCGAAGACATAGTTTTCACTCGCAAGAATGTTGTTCAGCGTCGAGGTTAGATCGGTGACGATGTTGAATCTCAGCTCGTCGAAATGCGCCGCGGTCACGTTCAGAGGTTTGAAATTTGTAGCAAAAGCGGTCGTAACGAGTCTGTCGAGTAGAGAGAACAGACTCGAATTTCGAACAGGTTTCCCTCGATCCGGATTCGGAGACCCGGTGTCGTTCTTCTTTTCGGTGACGGTAGCCGCTGGGCCGGGTCGGAGGGTAAAGCTGATCAACGACAACAGAAAGTAAAACCAAAAGAGGAAAAATTGGCGATAAAAACGGGATTTGACGAAAGTGTTCCACTTCGCGTTCAAAAGGTCGACCAAGATGCCGTCCATCAGCTCCAAGTGTTCGTCCTTTTCCTGTACGTGTACGCATAGAATGCAAATGTATTAATGAAAAGCATATCCCCAACAGCACTCGATATTGCAACAACGTATCTTCAATATTGTCACATTGCAATTGCCGTACAATGTATTGAGTGTTGGCGATTACATGCCACGTACATTGTAAGTACCACGTGTTCAGTGAGAGGTGAGAAATGAAAACGATCAATTGAGACTCACGCCGAATACTACGAGGTTCAAAGCGGAATTGTGACTAATGCTTCCTGTAGAGGCGTCGATGGTATCGACTTGCGACAGAGGATAAGCTGCGCACGTTATGCTTCCGATCTGCCAATATATCTCCCTTTCAATGTTCAATATATGGAAGAACATTTCGATCCTTGCCAATTTCGCGGCCAGCGTGAGAGGCGTCAGATGCTGAAGGTTCCTAATGGCCAACGAGGCGCCCATTTCGTAAGCCGTGTCGAACGCAGCCTTGCTCAAAATAAACCGTTCGTTTCGTTTTGACCGAAACTCGCGCAGGATCCACCGCGAACGACCTACTTACCAATTTCTCGTAAATGACCAACATGTGTAACACGGTGTTTCCGTTCGTGTCCTGTTTGTCCGGATCAGCTCCTCTGGCCAGTATGAGTCTGTAGCACTCCTCCTGTCCCAGACACGCGGCGAAACTCAAAGGATACTCGCCCCAGTAAACGTATCTGCGTACGTACAACGAATTCCGGATTAGGAAAGTGGGCCAAGCAGCAGAGAAAAATATTCGTGACTTTTTGACAATCGTCCTATTGCGAATGTGCCATCACGCGAAGAACAGTCCGTAGTTTAATTGTGTTACGTTTCGAGTCGTAAGTAGCCGTTCCGTACCCGCTGTAATTCGTCTCCGCAGTCACGGAGACCCATTCGTGGTCGAGGCTGTCCGACCTCGAGGCCTTTTGATCCTCGGGGCACATAAAATTTCCAAAGCATCTTTCGTGCACGTCCGAGCCGCTATCCAAAAGGAATTTCACCAGAGCCGGATCCTCGTTCACTATAGCGATGTGCAATGCGCTCTCTCCTGTACATCGGAATCTCCTCTTTTTAACGATTCTTACTCTAGGCACGAGTCGAGAGAATGAGTCGCGAACTGATATCCGATATTAACCGTAATATTCGTCGCTGATGTACACGTCGTTTATGAGCTTCGGATAAAAGCGTAACAAACGTTTAGCCAGATCGATGTGAATAGCGGTCGCATGCAGCATACACAGATGTAGAATCGTTTCTCCGACTGCTCCTCTCTCGCTCAAGCTCCAGCAAACTAATCTGTACTTGCTCTTATCTGCGGTCAGACGGATCTATCTAAGCATACGTACAATCGTTTTTTCCTACTTCTCACCCACTTCTTCATCGTACTCGCTACCTATTTTAGTTTCATCCACTTCGTCTTTGCCCATGTCCTTGTCTATGTCGTAGTCGGCCGGATTCTCCATGGCTCTCAACGGCGGAAGCTGTCGTACGCAATGGAACACACGAGTGAATAATGCAATTTGAAGAAGATAGCCGAGTCAAGTTAAACTGCTATCATATACTATACGAAGGATGCGAAGGTGGTAGCGAAAAGTCGGTAGACAAACGATTCCATGATACCATTTTATGCTTCGGGCGGTCCTTGTTTCGTAGCAAGACTAATTTCTCGATCGGTATCCATTTCCCTTTACCCTTGTTGTACAAATACGGTTCCACTTTCGTTCTGAGGGCATGATCCAATTCCGCGTACTGCTTGGTCTGCGTGGCTCTCTTCATCATGTCGACCAACAGGCCGCCTCCTGTTCGAAGTCAATGTAGTTTCAGGCAGTGCACGACGTCGTCGAGTCTCTCAGGCTCGACTTACCTTTCAGATCGACCAATTTGTAAAGTAAAATGGAGGATGCATCCGTTTGCTTCTTCACTCCGCTCGCTACGTTGCTCTCTGTGTTCCCCATCTTCTATTCTATTCGGTTCTACTTCGACGAATATTACGTCCGTCGACGATGACGTTTCAGAGGCTGATCTTCCCCCAGCGTTCGTTACTATGGAACTATATAACTCTGTTTTGTTACATTCCCATATCGATCGCGCACCCCGGCTGCAACGTAGACGAGGTAGATAGTGTACGAAAACAGTTTTACGCATCATATTTAGGTCTGGCAAAAAGCTTCGTCCATCCATTCTACCTCCGACCAAGTTGGAAAATAGAAAAAATAAAGGACGATATCACAGGCCCCGGAGGGATTCGAACCCTCGATCTCCTGTTTACTAGACAGGCGCTTTAACCAACTAAGCCACGGTGCCGAGTGACAGATAAAGTTTCAATGCACGTTCGTGTATACATAACAAATAATAATTGAACTTCTCGACTAGATTCGACAGAATTCGAACTGGACGCCGGAAGATCGTTCGAGAGATCATTGTCTCGATGTATCTCAATAAATTCAATCGACGACACCGTACGTTGTGTATGTTTGATCGCGAGAAATTTGCCTCTGGTGAACGGTCGGTCCACCAGCACTGGCTCGTTGGTCTAGGGGTATGATTCTCGCTTAGGGTGCGAGAGGTCCCGGGTTCAAATCCCGGACGAGCCCTTCTTTTTTCTTGTTTTACAAATGACTCGTTCGTCCCGAGTGACATCCGTTTCCGCAGAGAATGGTGAGTACCGCTGCCCTCTCTCCTTCTCATCTTTCCAACATCATCCGCTTCCGAGAAAGTATCGATCGAACTTGCAAAACTATAATAAATCGCTTACGATCGCGTTCGGTGGATTAAAAGGCGAGAAGAGCATATAGGAAGGCGATCTGTAATACCCGTTAAAGCCGCGTGTGCCTCTCTCCTGCGCCCGCGCGCGCTTCTAATCTGAGTCCTTTGCATATCCGAGTAATGACGAATCGCGGGGAGAAAAAGTCGCGATAATTGGCCGAGAGGAAACAGAATCGCGATCATGTCGTGGGGACGCAAATGACATACTCAGCGTTCACCTATCGTGCTCCGTTCGCAGGTCAGTTAGACTCGCGCTTTCGAGCCACCAACACCGAACCCCCTTCTTTCTAATCGTATTGGCCGTAAACGCGCCACGTTCAAAGCCGAAAATTCATCTTCTTATATCCGTTCCTCTGTAATAAGGGTGGATAGCGCAACCGCGATTCTCTTCGTTCTTCTTAAACCCGCGCCTCTGTCCGTAAAATAATCCTGTGAGGCAGATGCCACGGGATATTCAGCGAGGAAGTTGACAAGCGTTCTGGATTTTGTCATCGGAAAACCTGACACGAGGGATAGGTAAGTGAGTCACGTTTTATCGAGTGGTTTTTTAAGTCGAAATTTCGAAAGACGAGCAGAACGATATTAGTTTTCGAACCGGTGACTCGTTTGGTAAGCTACAGGGCATAGGCTGCCGCGCCGCCGTGCCGCGTCAATGTGAAAATGACGTTTTCCGAATCTCCCCCCGGCCGAACAACTCGTAAGGGAGCTTCGGAAGTCACAACGCAGAGGAGTAGATCGGAATTTGGGCCAGTGGTACATGCGATACGCGTTAATATGACGTTCGCTTTATTTTTAGCGCAAACAATTTGAAAGATCGCGTATAAGCATCGGCGCGCCTAACGATAAACACAGATTAAAAGGAGACGAGGAAAAAAGTGATGATCGGCCGAGGCGTGGTGAGGCGAGACGACCGGGAATATCTGATATCAAAAATATATACAGGGTGCCTCAGCCGATTTTTACATGTTGATAACTTCGGTATTGTAGCGAAAAATGTTTCATAAAAAACTTATATGGTATCGAATGGGACATATTCTGGTGTTATTAGTTTATCCGCAGGTAGACACGTCGAGGATATATGAAGGTCAACTTTGTTTTTTTAAACAGCATGAGGTACTTTTTTGAGCATCAAGCGATGCAGCTAGACATTCTTTATAAAAAAAAGTACTGACCTACGTATGTCGAAAAGCTAATCGTTTAGGAGATATTTCAATTTAAGCTCCCTATAAAACACTTTTCGCTATATGCCAGAGTACCGAAGTTATCGAGATGTAAAAATCGGCTGAGACACCCTGTATATGATGCCAGTAACCTCCTTCTTCAACCTCTTTCCACCGATCGAGTTATTTTTAAAATAGCCATTCGTTCGTAATTATACGTATCTATACACGTACACTCATCGCACGTAAGTATGGAGAGCGGCGCTTATTTATGCGATCTTTCAAATTTCGACTCCTCTCTCTTTCTCTCTAGCGATGACGTCCGCGTTGTTTCGGTATGATGCGATCGAAGATCGAAGGGGAAAAATCATCGGGAATGAATGCTCCTGGACTGCGGAGGCGCAGTCGGTAGTCGCTATGCGTAATCGTCTGTAACGGTGGATCGCGCGACAGACGTTCGTTCGCTATACCATAGATCAGCATTATCTTTTATCGCTGTCAACATCTGGAAGCGACCGTGCGACGCTGCGCCACAGTTTGAATCGGGCCGCGAGCACGCTTGATCGATTCTCCGTACTTTAGCAGCGAATCGTTCGCCGAAGCGCATCTGTCGAATCATCGTCTGATAAAAGGTTGCATACCTTCCCATCGACTATGAACATGCGGTACCATTCATCGAATAACAGAGCGGTTTAACGTGACGCAAATCGCTGATGATTCAAAATCCGCCGGTAAACCGGAACGCGGGACACTTCAGCGAAACCGTGTAGGCGCGCGGTACGTGCGCGGAACAGGATCGTTCTTCATTCTCCATAGACCGTCTTTATTCTCCAGTAGATAGCCATCGCGTTCCGACCTCCGCCAGTGGTTCTGACGAAACGAAGAAACGGGTCAAGATCGCGGAGCTTATCGCGCTGAAACCGCGTTCCGTGTTTCTACCTATCTATCGTTCATATCATTGAATACGCGTATCGGTTCGAAAAACCCTTTCGGTCCTCTGGATCAGTTCCTGTGCAAAACCTTTCCATCGTGAACTGGGCGCGGCAATTGAATTGATTACAGCAAGCTAAAAAAAAAAGAGGTAAAAGAAATAAAAACGAGAATCGTAACTCATTCGATGAGGTGTAGATGGTCGGTCGCAGGGACGAAAGGGTTGACGTGACAGCGAAGTGACTCGCGGTTCGTCGAGCTCAAATAAACCAGAGACACGCGTTCCAGTCTAGTAGATTTCATCACTATTATAATACGTTCGGTGAGCAGTTATTTAACCATATCGTACCTCGTTCCGCGAAACGTAACGTCCCGGTCCTCGGAACTCGTTACTCGTTGCATAATTATGCACGCGACGTTTGATAATAGATGATGAAGCGCGCGAAGTTGGCATCGTGGTCGTCTTCGCTCGCTGCCAGCTGGTGCGAACAGAGGGTAAAAGTACGCGAACGAACGACGGTCGGTGTAGAACGATTCGAACTGCTTTTCAGGTGCGACGATGCACTCTTGGGGAAGATTAGCGTACGGGATTTTGCTGCTAGTAGCCGCGGCGAACAGCATGCCCGATTTCTCTGGTTTACCACCCGGCCCGTACTGTGCCGGTAGATATCCGCCGGGCGAATGTTGTCCGGGTCGTCGGGACGAGTGCAGTGCACCGATCGTCAACACGATCTGTTACTGCGACGACTTCTGCGACCGATTCAGAGAGGAAGATTGTTGCCCGGATTTCTATAGCCATTGCAAAGGGATCGAGGCAAACGTCACCTTACCACCGCCTCCGCCGCCGGCCGAAATCAGAAGTACATAAGTATCTATTATAAATGTTTGTGTCTCATTCGTTACGCGTACGACTCAGAGATTCATACCAAATTCCAGGTTGTTACTTCCAACGGAAATATTACAACGCCAGCCAAACGTTCAAGATCAACTGCAATATATGGTAGCACATTCCGTTCTTCTTCTATCTCGTTTCGTTTCTCTCTCTCTCTCTCTCTCTCTCTCTCTTGTTTCTGTCTCTTTCTTCTATTCTGTCTTCGTGTAACGACTTAACGCGACGCGAGCCTGTCTAAATCTTCCGCAGTAAATGTTCCACGGTGGGTAGAACAGCCGAGGTGCTCTGCGAACAGAACCGATGCCTTCAGGAGCCAGATCTGATAAACGAGATCAATTCGAACAGTTGGTCCTCTTCGCTCGGCCCTTTGGGATGGAGGGCACGAAATTACTCGGAGTTCTGGGGTCGAACGCTAAAGGAGGGAGTGCAACTTCGATTGGGTACCTTGAATCCGTCGCGATCGGTAAGTCTACGGATTAAGCGGTAAGCGGACTAAGCGGCCGCGTGGGGGCCTCGAGATCTTTACCGCTTAGGGCCCCCGCTGGTCTTAAAATCTGCCGCTGTACTTGCGATCACCGGACACCGAAGAGCTACTCCGCTCGCTCTCGCTCGGTTTTCGTTACCATCCGTCTCTTTCGTACCGTCTCCCAGGTTTACAAGATGAACTCCGTGCGACGTATTTATGATCCGGCGACATTGCCTCGAGAATTCGACGCTAGGACCAGATGGCCTCGAGAGATCTCGGGCGTAGAGGATCAGGGCTGGTGCGGCGCATCCTGGGCGATCTCCACAGCTCGCGTCGCTTCCGACAGGTTTGCCGTGATGAGTATGGGCGCCGAAAGCGTTCTTCTCAGCGCGCAACATCTGCTTTCCTGTAACAACAGAGGGCAACAAGGGTGTAGCGGCGGCTACTTGGACCGCGCCTGGATGTATCTGAGACGATTCGGGTAATCGCTGCGTCTGTCCTTACGTGACGCTCGTCTGCGTCGTTCCGCGAAACTTGATTAGATCCTGTTCGTTCGACTGTCGACAGGCTGGTTGAAGAGAACTGCTATCCGTGGAGGGGTATGGACGAGCAGTGCAAGTTACGAAAGAGAACGAACTTGAAGATCGCTGGATGCGTTCCTGCCTCGGCGAATCCACTTCGAACGGAATTGTACAAAGTCGGGCCAGCTTATCGACTAGGTAACGAAACGGACATCATGCAAGAGATTCTGACGTCCGGGCCTGTTCAAGGTACGCGTCTCCACACCGGATGCTTCCCGCCGGTCTCACCCGCGGCCAATGCAAATCCGCGAGCTTCGAACTAAGGTCGACGATCGTTTCAGCTACCATGAGGGTCTATCAAGATTTCTTCTCGTACGAGTCCGGAGTGTACAAACACTCGGCGACCGCCGAGCTTTACGAAACCGGCTATCACTCGGTCAGGATCATTGGATGGGGAGAGGATGAGCAGCCTCGTTTCAATCGCGTCTCGCCATTGAAGTATTGGGTAAGTTCTCTTTTTGTCCGTTCATCTTTGATTAAAACGGTCGAACATAGACGAGCGAATTCTCATGGCTTTTAGCTGGTCGTGAATTCCTGGGGTCGGGAATGGGGCGAGGATGGCCTCTTCCGAATCGAAAGAGGCACCAACGAATGCGAGATCGAATCGTTCGTACTCGGAGTATGGGCGAAAACCGTCTGACAACGATCCGTTCGATAGGACAAGGAGCCCGTATCGCCAACAACGATATTCGACAGGACGTCTCGTGCCTCCGCTCATCTTATCGTTAGATACATTGTCAGCGTTGCATTTATATTTCCACCTCCATTCTACAGTCAATTTTCATAGGTCGATCGGCATTCGTATAGCTTCGCATACGCGTTATCTTAATTTTTATTTAACAATTGCGATCGGAACAACATTTAGAATACGCGTACAACGTTCTTCTACGTGTACGTATATGTGCGTGTATGCATGTATATAACGTGTACACGTAGAAATTCGTGGATCTACTCCAGGAAATAAAGTGACAGAACTGAGAACAGCACTGAACGTGCTCTTCGAACGTGCAACGTCGTGTAGATATGTTTTTACGTGAAATATAGTATGTCTGTCCGCATCTATCGTTTCGTCTTTCCTCCACCTGCACCTCATTCGTATCAAACTACCACGCTACGTCGACTAGTTCTGCAGTGAGGGCTGTACACCTCCAGCTTCTCTCTCGGCGTGTTCATAGCAGAGTAATCGATGGGGAATGGAACGTTGTTCCCTCGAGCGATGCAGGAGTCTGTCATGCAGAGGAAATGTTCTCCAGGCCCGTACGGGCCCCGGCCGAACAAGAAGTTCGCGAACACGAATCGATACTGTCTCCAACCGAGTGGATGGTCCCCGTTCTGTCAAAAATATAATTATTCTTCCCTCGAGTCACCACGCGCTTTCTCTCCCCTCTTCTTCTCCCGCTCTTTGTGCAGTCACAATGATATACGTACTATTGTGTAGAGAGCATGCTATTTACCGATGTCAAAGAGTTATAGGCGATATCTAGGCACTCGGAGATCTTCTTGGAGTCTATGCCGACGACCGATCCGTAGAACGATCCGAGTTCTTTTCTCGAAATTATTCCGTTCGCGGAGTTGTTGATGGCGAGGAACAACGTTTCAGGCAATATTTTCAACCAGAAGGGAATGTCGTTGTAAGTCGCTCCTCCTGGCGGTGCCACGATGCAGGCCCACCACCGCATCCATTCCTCTAAACTGATCCTTTCTCGACCCTTGTCGCATTTATTTCCATGAAGAATCAAATCCGCCAAACCCTGCTCGGCTTCCATCAAACGAAGATACTCGGGACCGTTCCAAGACCAGTCCGCGAATCTCCTCAAGCGCTTTCAAGAGTCAACATCGAAACGAACGCGATTAGTGCCTATCGGTCGATGCAAATTATGTATACGCGCTGAGGAGACTAATCTAATGTACTAATACGACTGATAGTATCTCCTTGATGCGCTACTACGCGATACAAGATGAATCGATGAGGATCGTTGTCCTTGCTGAAAAAGTAGCCACTATGTTCGGTAATTCTAAATAACAATACGCTTGACAAGGAGCAACTGAAATTCGTTATATATAAAACGCGGGTTCCGCCGACACGAAAGAATAATTAATCATTTTATACATCTTCTTATTCTTATTCTCAACGATTCATCCTATCATCATCTGTACACATGTGTGTATGTTTGTACGTATACCTGAATTCCCGAGAGTTTATGAGCGGGCACAGTTCAGTTTTTGATCGTTCTGCACATCTCAATGCTTTACTGTGTATACCAGGCATGGCCAAAGGTGTCGCGCAAGCGACACGACCTTCAGCGGGAGCCTAGGTGGGGATGCATTAAGTAGTGTGAGCGTATTATGGTCCGCTGTGTTACTGTGACTATGGCACGAGGTGGGGAAAGCTATTGAAGTAGGGAGAAATGAGTTGCCCATGCCTGGTGTATACTGAACCGTGTGGAGAGGGTTCGTTGCGACCCCCGCCACGAAGCTGCGCGAAACGCTCCTAGACTCTCGGGAACAGATTAGGTATATGAACACATACCTCAAACGATTTTGGGGTTGCACGTGACGCCATCTAACGGCGACGAACCCGCTTGGCTCCAATATCTGCGGCAATATTGGCTGATATTGGCTTAGAAGGAAGCGGTTCACTTCTAATAATTAGAAGAAGAAAATCGTTTGACGTATGCATATGTGTAGTGCAAGTACATATAAGTATATAATACGGATATACCTCCGAAAACATTCTAAAATCTTTCCGATCGATGAAACCATCTTTATCGTGGTCCAAAATAGTGAAAAAGTGCGAGAACTTGTCGCGTTGAACGGCCGACAAATCTTCCAGTTTTCCTCCCTGATCAAGTTCTACAGCGACTAAATTTTCATCGCTCGGATATCGACTCACCCACGTAGCTGTTTCATCAGGGATACAAAGAAAAAAGAAAGCAGAAAGAAAGAGAAGAAAACGAAAACGGAAAATGAAAAACGTTCAATTAATAAAATATTCGTTGATCGTTTCGTTATTATAGTATAGTTCTTACGTATAGTTACAGTTATACTATCGTCTATCTCGCCGCGAAAATAAACGCGTGAAAGCTTACTCCAAACGTGTACGCTCCAGCCAGGATGTTCCAGTTCCTTATCCGCGGCGGTAACTGGAACGTTTACGATATCGTCTACGTTGCTCGAAACTGTTCGCCATCTCTTCAACAAGTCTTTAGTTTTGTCGCGCGTACGATCGCAGGCTTGCCGCCAATTGACGATAAATTTGCGCGGCACTTTTAACGCGTTGTCCTCCAACCCAAGATCCTGGCTACCGGCAGAGCTTCTACTCCTCTCGGTCGCGGTGGCCGTGTCGATTTCCGTTGTTGCTGCACCGACACCGACGCTTCCTTCCGAACCTGTCGCTTCCTGTATGGAAGGATAATAAATCGGATCCTTTATGCTGTCCGAACGGCTCTCCATCACGAACTACCATATACGTCTCCGTCCTAACTTACATACTCATCGTTAACTATTCCCGTTGCCTCTCTCCTGAAATAATCAATTGCTCGACAAGAGGTCACCGGGTCGCTCGATAATCCGGCAAACACGCGAACCGCATCTGACACGGTTTCTCTCAATTCCGATTTATCCTAAATTGTAGCGCCGAGGCGGCCTACCGCACTGGAGTAAACACATTTCAGACAAAAATTAGAGCTAGATATAATCGCAATCGCAGCACACGGTGTACCAGTGCAGACGAATCATCCAGTAATCAGGCACGCGGTATTCGAAACTGCAATGCTTGAGCGAGCATAAGAACGTTTCGTAACGTACATAACTCGTTAACGAAATGCGTTTTAAACCAAACAAGTTATAGTTATATGTAACTGTATACATATGCAGGGTGTCCCAGAAAAGTGTTAGAGCCGAAGAGAGGTTATTCTGTAAGTGTTTCCAAACAACAGTTTCTTTTACCAAAATGCAAAGTGAGCCATGGTTTTTAAATTATTAACGAAAAACACTGACCAATGAGAGCACGTGCAGGGCCTGCGCAAAGCTACGGCTGCGCGTCACAATCCGAGCGGACCTCTCTGTGGCGAATGTCGGTACGACAGATATCGTCGTTGTCGGCGTAGCCGAGCGTCGCCAGCGCTCTGTCAGATTTTCATGTACATGGAAGCAGGCATCGTATAATTTTTCCCTCGGCCGGAAAGTGGGGACGACGCGACCATGGTGGGGTTTGGTACTTGATGGGGATATGCTAGGAATGGTCAGCGAAGGCGCATGAGGGGAATAGTAGTGGGGCTCGAAATACGGGCGAAAAAGAGGGGAAGCGAGCCGTGAGGGAAAAAATATGCGCACCCTGTATGGAAGTCTACGGCTCGAATTTATAGTCGATTCTCGCACTTGGCACTCAGCACTCAAGTGCGTCCAACCGTTCCGCGTTCAATGTACACATTTATGTTATGTTCAGATTGTAAAAGTTTTATACTTCATGTTTGGAAAAGAAGTGAAAGAAGCGGAAAAGGAGAAAAATTATTGCCTAGCTATTCCGCTACTCTCACTTCTTTTTAAACATAACAATGTGTACATTGGTGGGACGCACTTGAGTGCTGAGTGTCAAGTGCGAGAAGCGACTATAAATTCGAGCCTAATTCTGGACATAAGGCATTAGATGTGAAAACACAGGTGCGTTTATAAAAGTTGTAAAGCGAATAAAGAAAGACTTGCGGAGTTGTTAGGGAGTAATAAAGTATTTATATATTTATATGTTTCATAAATAATAAAACAGAGATAAAAAGAAAAAGGAAATTTGGAGTCTAAATCCCTACATCTCTAGTAACAGCATCGCCGCTTTCACGCGCGCGGTTCCAAATTTCTTCCGAAGTTGCTCCGTTGCTTCGTGTTCGCTCCCATAGATGTCTGCTACCAAAACCAAACACGTACAATCGAGCGTACCAACTTCGGGTAATCGAATAGTCAATGATTATACACGTTGATGCTTCGCATCAACGTGAAAGCAGCCCTCTATTTCTGTTCTCATGGCCGAGGGTAAGCGCACGCTGAAAATCCTGATATATTTCGACGATCTCTACGTTTCATCGAATCGCGTTTAATAGGAATTCGTCGTTAAACGTTCCAGCAACGAATATACTTATTATTTCCTAAACTAGTTTCACGGGAATATCATATTTATTGCTCGTAACGGATCGAGCATTGACACGCGATGAGTTTCGTTTACCTTTCCGTGTTAACTAACATCTTCATTCTCATTATTATCTTTCAAATTTTGTATTGTACGCGTGTCTTGTCCCGACGAAACGAAAATTTTTTCTGTCTCATTTTCAGGGAACAACCATGGGTGCATACAAATATCTACAGGAGCTGTACCGCAAAAAGCAGAGCGATGTGCTCCGCTTTCTGCTACGTATTCGATGCTGGCAATATCGTCAATTGACCAAAATGCACCGTGCTCCTCGACCATCCAGGCCGGATAAAGCACGCCGTTTAGGCTACAAGGCTAAACAAGGTTAGTCCAGGTACCGTCTTCGAGCAAGATATTGGTTTCGTTCTACGGTAGATTCCGTTTATTTGGCAGTGTCAACGTGATATATGTTTAGTCGGGATGAACCGAATGCTAGAACCAATGTTTTCCAAATAACCGGAAGTCTACTGTATTTGTTTCATACATGAGATGATGATATACCATGCACCACTCTTACTGATCTGTGGTGAGATAGTGTACACGCTGATTATCGTTCGACGTTAAATGATTATCGTTCAGATGAACGTGCAGCATATATAAATATTAATGATTCTATTCCAAATGCACAGGCTTTGTCATATTCAGAATTCGTGTGAGGAGGGGAGGTCGTAAACGTCCAGTTCCCAAGGGTGCGACTTATGGCAAGCCCAAGAGTCATGGGGTAAATCAATTGAAACCTACCAGGAAACTGCAATCCGTAGCTGAAGTAAGTGATGTCTTTTGTACTTCTCGTGCGAATTGGAAGTAAAATACTTTGTGCATTGTCTGATTCATCGTTCGCTTCTCAATTTTTAGGAACGCGTCGGTCGTCGTTGCGGTGGTTTAAGAGTGTTGAACAGTTACTGGGTCGCTCAAGACTCTACGTATAAATACTACGAAGTCATTCTGGTGGACCCCGCGCATCCGGTAATTCTTCTGATTAACGTTGTTACATTTTCCATTGCGTACCCTCGGTATTACTCTAATGATGATATTGCTACTTGATGTTGATACATTATGATTGATTCATCTTCCTTGGATGTCTGAACGCGTGACGGAACCCATTGACGCAGCGATACGATCGGTAGCATTGTTAACGGTCTTGTTCGTGTTTCAGACGGTTCGTAACGACCCGAAGGTGAATTGGGTGTGTAACGCGGTTCATAAACACCGTGAACTTCGTGGAAAGACGTCGGCCGGCAGGAGTTCACGTGGTTTGGGTAAAGGACATCGGTACTCGCAAACGATCGGTGGTTCTCGTCGCGCGGCGTGGCTCAGGAGAAACTCTTTGTCACTTCGCAGGAAAAGATAAACTTGCAAATTGTACCGATATTACGTTTTTTCCTTCCCTTCACTTTACGCGGAAGCACCTCGGTTTTTGTCATCGATACTTCCCAATAGATACAAATAATAATTGCACGAGGTGTCGAAGTACAATCCTCGAAATATTCGTTTTTCCTTCCGTCGGGACACTTTCCAACAGGTCGGGAATGAACAATTTGTACACGTTTAATTTCATACATAGGTACATGCTACAATAAAATACGATTTAAAAAAGGAAATTGTATATTGCGACGCATTATTGGACAATGGGCGACTTATATTCTAGAAATAATATAAAACGGTGTCGTTCACTGGCCAGGGCCGGACAACGACTTGTCCATAAATTTTTTCTTTGCAAAACATAGCCACCATTTACTCGGCTTACCATCCTCTCCATATACCTTCTCTACAAGCCTCACGCCCGTTTCCTGCCGTATTTGTTGCAAATATTGCCTCATGGTATCTGTTACGAATAAATAAAGAGATACGTGCTTGATTGGTGATCGTCGTACCGCGATTCAGTCGTGACTCGAAGAGAACAAAAACCGCTTACCAGCCTCTACAGGATTGCTTGGTTTCGCATAGACCGAATTGAGGGGGAAACCTGGATCACCGGGAATGTCAAACTTTGAAATAGCAAGTGAGTACATTTCGTTCGTCGCTTGAGCTTGAGTCGCACATTTCTGTAATCTTTTCAAGCATTCCGTTATATACAGCGTGATGTAAATTAAAACTCTGTCAGCCTCGCTCTAAAACGAAACACACAGAACTCGAAGACGTACATAAAAGCTTTATCTGCTCGTTCACAGAATGTCATCGACAAACGATCGATACCTTGATTTCATACGTTCTAAAAAATACATTTGCTTTGAAGAAGTACAATGCCTCGTCAATTATGTCCAAGTCCTTGTTGTTAAAAGGTGGTGCGGGACCTCTGAAATGCGTCCGAATCGGCAGAAGTGCCAAATTACCGATATTGCCATTATTTTCAACGAAACTCGAATGATATGCCTGCGATAAAGAAACGCATCATCAACAGATTGATCGCGATTAAAGGAGGAGACGCCCCTATATCGGTACAATAATTGCACGAACGTTTAGATCAAATATTTCACTCCACAATCACATACTCACAGGCATTTTAACAAATTAACTGTCTTTCCCGGCGAGCAAAGTGTTCCTTTTCGCGTGTCAAATTGATTCGATTCGTTTTATTTAGTGTTTTGGTGCTGAACTCTTGAATTCTTTTTCCAGACCATATTCCAGACGAGTATACAGGATCCACCTTCAACCATATATTTAATAAACTATATACTCAAGCTTATCTCTTGTACACTGAGCTTTGCGTAACCAACATCTCCGTACCAAAAGTGAGAGTGAACGCTAATGCGCATGCGTCGAATTTGAAAACTATAACAAAAAGAGCATCGGCTGATGGACTGCTTTATAACCTTTTTCTGTTTTAATACGCCCTGTGATATTAGACGAATAAATAACGGAGGTATAAATAATTGTACAGTTACAAGTGCTGTTAAATAGATAAAAAAATGTATGCAATGAAGAAAAATGTACGTGAGATTGTGAAAGATTTAAATATAACCATTTATTTAATCATTTTGAGTAAATTGACAATTTTTTAAGCCTATAAAACTCCAAAATTATCAGTATTTAATAGCTATGGACTGGCTGCCGATCGTATTAGTTCGGTAACCGATCAAAATTTCAATTCATGCGTTTACCCCTTTGCCCATATATGACACCACAGCGGCGAGCGACTCTAGCTTTAATTTGACTCACGTTTCATAAAAATCTATGCAGTGGAATTTGAAATATAGAAATGTTTCTTCGTGTCACGGAGATGACAGGTGGATGACAGATTTCAAAAGAATCAAAAGACTATGATATAAATTGCAGCTTTTGGCTGGAATCTCAATTAGAATTTTAGTCAAGATTCATTTGCATTGTAATTGAGTTCAGGCGTTGTTACACGAATTGTTCTACGTATTTATAACATATTTCTTATTATGTCATTCCGTCACTGTGTTTTTCAGTGTTTGAAATCTGAACCTTAGAATTAGTACAAAGTTCAAAATATTTCATTCAAGATTGATGATTTTTGTATGATTCAGCAGATAGATTAGATTCAATTATAAGAGGTTAAAATTGTTTACATTTGTCAAGCAGTCAATTGCAAGCAGGCGAAAGGATCGAGAGATATCAATTTGCATCTGTCATGCCAAGTAGGTCAGGAATCGATTTGGGCAGCTGTACGGCTTAAATTTAGCACGAATTGATTCTAAAAAAAATTTGTGATACTTTTCATCGCAAACACTTCTATTTTTATATCGAAATGAGCGTCGCATTAATATCAGAATACTTGGATACGTATCAAGGGAGGGATAAATTTTTAAGAACGTTGTCCTACATAGCAAAATTTGCCACAGTAGGAACATCGTCGAATGAAACCGAGAAAAAGTTGAGAGTAATTAGCAGACAAATGAGTGAATGCAGAGTGATACTGAGATTGCTAGACGACATACCTGTATTACATTATGCTCTGACATATGGATGGGGAAAAACGGTACGTATATTCTAATATAAATCGTGCACATTTATATCATATTTAATGTATGTACAAACTTGTACCGTTTTCCTACAGGCGTATAAACTTTCTATGTCATGTAACAGGAGACAGATTGGTTGATTAGGTGGACAGAATTGACACAAATTGCAGTTGATATCATATTCTGCCCAATAGAACACATCTCCTGGGCTGGCGAGCATAAATTAATTAAAGTCGACACAGAAGTATGGTCCAATACTTCTACATGGCTTTGGATAATTTCCTTGCAGCTTTCGTTAATGAAGTAAATTAAAATAATCATTTTATGTAGCGCTGAAACATTTCTGCTACTCTTACTTATAATTGCATTTTGCAGGTCTCTACGGAGACTGAAGACGCTTAGCAATTACAGAAGGCATCTCATTGAAACTAATTATAATGCGAGGTAAGTAAGATTTCTGTTCACGTGACGTAAAATTGGGACATTAGTGAATAATAAAAGATAACTGTAATATATGTTCATACTTCTTCGTCTGTTCGAACAGGACAGCCTTGAAGGCAGTTAACAAACAGAGATGGAATGAATCACTGGGTTGCATTAGATGTCTATTAGATACCAGTTACGCGATTAGTTATTTGCCAGCTGGTACGCTTTGGGGTGGTAAATTAAAAACTTGGCACGTTGGAGCACTCGGAACTCTCTCATCCTTGATTGGCATGTATCAAGCTCTAAGCAAACGGGCAGAGCAGAAAAAGCAGTCTTAACAGTATTGAGTTGGCAACTAACTTCCCGCCGTTTTTTTAAATTTGTTAAAAGTTTATTTTTCAATAAAAATTACCAACTAATTAATCAATCATGTATTCCTCCTTGTTGTTTACAACTTCTTCCTAACAAGATTTCAATACCTCGTTAATAGAAGTCACGTGCAACCCCAAAATCTTTTGAGGTACGTGTACATATTCTTATTGTAAAAGTAATGGTAAACTAAGAAATCAGAGTCGTAAAATAATGAAATTGAACATTTTGATGTAATTTTAGAACTGCACAAACTTGTTAACATAATAAAGAACAATTTATTCTTTCTAATCTTCCTAATAGTTTCGTGTTACAATATTTAATATAACAGGGATACATATAATAAGAAAAAATTAATACGATACAAATTATATTATTCATACTCGGACAAAGCTTGTTTGATTTTAAGCTAACTAGTACACATGTACACGTTTACTAACGTTCAAATCGTTTCGAGTCTATTCGGGTGCGGCTATTCGTAAGTTATTGGTTCGCATTGTCGATAAAAGTGAAAGAGAATGGGAGGCACTTTCAATATGAACATAAAAAAAATATTTCGCTACCGTAGGGCACGATTAATCATGGCCTCGCGAGTGGTTAAATTTCTTTTAAAAGAGACAGTTTTAAGAGAACTTCATATTATGCATACCAGTAGCAGTCTTGTTCTTCATTTTCTTTGGTAGATCACCCTGTATCGCGTGGTTATCAGTGATTTAAAAATAGTTTGTGTTTCCCACGTTTGAATAAAATCTATGGAGATTATATTAAAAGGCACGACTTATTAAAAATTTGTAAATAAGATAATATTTCCGATAAAAGAGCATCTTTAAAATTTCCAACGTCTCGTCACCATTCGGCCATTAATTACCGTTAATTTGTAGTCTAAGAGCTTTTTTCTTGTCCTTCTGTTTACAACGATTCTTGGGCATTAGCAAAACTGATATTTTTCATTACTGAAAACTTTACGATTACATTGGAAGCTGTGTTTAGAATATATATGTATATATATGTATTACTAAAAAAAATTATGGTATCACGAATTTGGCATTGCAAATTACTCAAGTTTGGGAGATGATTATACGACGACAGCAAATTATTGCGAGGCGACGATTTACTCTATTTTACTTTGAAATCCTATTCGGAGATTTTCGATTTGATGCAATTCTACGACAGACGACATTTAAATCTAAAGACACGTCCAAAATTAAAAAATTGCAATGACAACTTGTGAGACTTAGATCATTTGCCGAATAATCATCTCCAAAACTTGGGCAAGTTTCGTGTTGCCATAATTTTGTCGAGTAGTATATATTATAGTACGTTGTATTAAAGCACTTCATATGAGTAGTTCCTTATTGTTATTATATATGTGTATTTGATAATTGCATTGACGTTAGAATGCTAACGATATATTCTTGTATTTGTTCCACTTTCTTGACCTAAGCGAAATTTTAGTAACTCAGATAATCTTACATTCTTCCCTCCCTCCGATATTAGTACTTAATTCAGTATCGTAGTAATATAATTTGCAATTGATTACATATATATATATACATATAAATGTATATATGCCCCTTGCAGATATCGATTATTATATCTAAAATTTTCAATACTTCAAATCGCAAGTTTTAATTCTCGAATCAGATAAATATTCGACGTGTAGCATCTTGCGTAAGCATATATTTATCAAGGCCAGGAGTTGGGAATCGGCAGAAGGGTTTGGAAGAATCATTTTGTCAAACGATAATAAAAAAAAAATAACAGAATGACGGAACGAGAAAATAGCAACGACGATGAGAGTCTTATCTGCAAAAATATACATTTTTAATTGACTCAACAAAATTATATGAAAACAGTATAAACGCGAGCAGAAGTAAGGCGACGAAATAGTGTTTGAAAGAAAATATATAACATTATATCGTAACAAAAAATAAAAACAGAAACGTTCCATTACAATCCGCTGCAGAATCGTAAACCATATACTTCTCCATTTCGTCAACAGTTAAATAAACCCTGTAAACGAAAGCTCGCGACGGCTTATCGCTCCGATTAATTATCGTAAGAAACTAAAGTATGTTTACAATAACCACTTTGGCGATATTTTACAAACTAACGTAAAATTATAAAGGTGGGCGACATCGTCGACTGACGTCGGTGAGCTTCTGGCAATGCTTAAAGTAAATACGCTGCTCGCAAAAAAAAAATAATAATAAGTAAATTATTAAGTTCCTTCTGCCGCTGTAAAAGTACGATAATCTAATCTCATGGAACACTTTAAGCGTAATATTTCGCCGATAGATTATTATAGCGGCGCGTTTTAGTCTTTCTTAATAGATGTCTAAACACTATTAAACTCAGCCATATTTCCTCCTAGCACCTTACTCATCAACAGTCGAGTGGCTTCCCCAACATTATTGCATAAAAAAATTATTGTCACTGTAAAAGCCACAATTGAACCTACGCGAATTCAACGTAAACGCACACTCGGTAAACGCATTAAACCGGGCCTTAATGTGATGGTGTTGCTCAATGGTACAACTATATAGATATTCTTCGTAATAAAAAGATCAACGAGAGAACCAGTCCCTAAGCTACTGTTTCTTCGAGAACGTGGTGGTGGCCGCGTTCGGAAATAGGAACTCTTTGTGGAACACGATATTCTTTTTTTCTTTTCGTAAGTCTTCCGTATGCCCCGGACGTAAGTGATATTAACGATAATAAACAAATCGTTGTACTGTTGCCGGCCAGCTGGTGTATCCGGTATGCGGCACAAATATCGTCAAACCAGCTACCGCAGCTCTCCGATAAAAACTAAATGTGGATCCTGTCAGTAAGTGGCCTAGCACTACGCCCGTGCACAAAACAATAGTCAAAAAAATCGAATGCATAATCTTCGGAAAGAAAACGTGAAACGTTGTACTTAAATCGTGGGATTGATCATCCCGCGGGGCGCGAAATTCATGTTCGGCGATAATCCGACCACTTGATTCGTCTTCGAGTTCCTCATTAACGGCTTGTGGTGCCACATTGATTCCATAGAGTGCTGCCATATCCAGCAAGCTCGGCAATAATAACGGAAGCACGTCTGCGCGGAGAAAATAAAAGCAACATTTATATTGAATCCATATACATCCATATTGAAATTGTGTTTGTTTTTACCATTTCACGGCAGAAGTAAGGTCCTTGTTGTACTGAGCATCCGGAACACATAGAATCCTCTAAATACGGATCGACTTGAACCTATTAAAAATTAATACAACTTTTATATTATTACATTCCTTTTTTTTCATTATTTGTGAAAATCAGTCGAACCTTTTTTGTAAATTTCGCAGTCTTTATCTCTATGAAAGCAGCTGAAATTGCTCTCATGTAGGAATACTTTGTGCTGAATGTGACGCGACCAGATCCGATTGGATACTTGTGCTTATCTGTGTCAATTCCTAAAATAAAGTTTCAATTTTGACGTAGTAAATCGTATCCGAATAATTCAAATAATTGGTAAATACGCTACTGAAAAAATTATGGTATCACGAAATGTCTATCGAAAATTATCCAAGTTTGAAAGGAGATTAATCAGCAGTGAAGTATCTACCTGCATAAATAACACCGCGAAATAGATCATCCATGACTTTCGCTAAACCAGCAGCAGTCAGCATACCGTGGAGAGCACCGACGAAAACAGTTTTGTGAGGATCAAGTTTCTGTGACGTTGACTTGACGAAATTACTGTTTTCAAGAATCCAAGGAATTACTTGCACCTGTTTTGCTTTCATACGTTTAGATGATATTTTGTAGTACCAACTACCGCCATTGGTAAAATCGTGTGTACAGCACGCCAAAAGAGTTCTCACCTTTTTCAAATGTCACAAAATAAATATAATCAATTTCTGAAGCGAGGAGATGCAAACAATAAGAATCTGAAATATTCATATACCTGTTTCTCAGTTTCGAATATAATATACACATATCCTTTCGGCTGTGTAGCGGCCTGGTCTTTACCCGGCCATTCTACCCTGATCTGACCGAATTGTTTGAAGGTCGCAATTAGATGAGACTCCGTAATATCCCAAGGTACGCCACCGAGGAAAACTTTCGACGAATAGCCCGATGCTTTTTGAGTACGCACTGGCAATATGCCGCTCCAAGTACAAATTGGGTCGCAAAGCGCTGGAGCAATCATTTGATTATTTAACACATTTGTTATTCATTTTAATCATTGTGGATTGATAATTACCGGCTGCGCTTCGATGAAATCTTGCCGCACGATCGAGGCAGTGCTGCGGATCTAGAATATTTAACGGCGGCGAATTCAGGCCCATCATATGGTTTCCATTGGAGCAGAAGTTATTCTCTTGCGAACACCGGGAGTTAAAGAAGCCACCGTTTTGGTTTAACCGGGATGACAAATATTTTTTCGCTGCCATTCGCTGGAACGCAGCCGCTCTGTTGTTCGTGTACGAATCTACTTCCGGTGACATAAACGAACCCAGAGACGGAGGGTAACATCCATGTGGAGATGAATTAAATGATAAACAATTCTAAAATAGAAATAACCAATTGAAGTTCGGTTTCGAAGAAAAGTAGTCTACATGTCGCAACTAGGAAAAGTAGATACCATTATGTCGGACAGAGACCCGTCCATATTACTCGTACCACTCGTTTCCGAGTCCGTTGGGGAGTCTGATCTTGATCCGTTGCTTGCGATCATGCGAGGATACTCGTACGTCGGACTACTGCAGTCGCTGGTACTGAATAATCACAACCATCAAATTGTCAATCATTGTTTTTCATTGCAATGATTAAACTGCGGGTATCGTGCATTTATAAGAAAAGTGATCAGAAATATTTTAATGGAGTAATAAAATAAGATAAGATAGAAAAATAATTAATAATAAAATGTTTTCTTGCACATCTAAACTAAGTCTCCTAACATCTCACAGAAAAGTATGATGTTTGATCCAATGTTAGGAAATTTATTCCACTTTGAACTATGTCCACTTAATACTGTCCACGATTTAATTATTGCATTTTGCATAAACGTCTGCAGTTTAGCAATGATTGCAACATTCGAAGGAGTACCTGTAAGGTGTCGACCCCCGAATTGGTCGTCCGGAAAAAGGTGTATGAATGGGTGACGACGGTGAGCCGATGTGCTGCATGGATCCTCGACCCGACGATGATGTCGATTGATCGCTGCTGCTCCTACACGAGTACGAATAGGGACGATAGTTCGAGTAAATGCTTTCGGGGCTGCCAGGGCTACCGGGTGTGTTCACAGAGCTTGGTGAGCTTGGAACGTCGAACATCGGCGTATCCGGGCAAAATTCGTTGTCGTCAAACTACAATCATTAACATAAAACAATCTATTTAATAGTTTATCTATTTAATTGTTATAAGAAGTCCTCAGGTCTCGTTTCAGTCTGTTCGAAATTGTATACATCCATATTTATCATTGTAAAATTTAAATGTAACCAACAATAAATAAAATTTAAGCAATATCTCTCAAAATACTAGAGCATTTCTGATATTTTCTTTATATCGGAAATTGTACATTTGATCAACACTGGAAGCCAAAGGCAACAAGTTAAGACTCGGACAGTATCCACAGGTTTGCTGGCAATTCTCGTTACCAGTGTCCAATTCTGGTTGCGGTAAGAACAGCAGGGGGAGGGGGGTACCATTAGATAGGTGTCACTTTTAACTACCCGACGAATTTTACGACCTAGTCATCATCTGTCCCTTAGACCGTAATTATACTCCGGACTGTTGTGCAACGACATCATCTGTCCTTTGGACCGTGATTATACTGCGGACTGTTGTGCAAAGTATTCAGGGTATCAGTTTTAACAATTATTCTATCACTTAAATATTGTGATACGTATTCAACTTTTCATTTTATACATTACACACAGCGTTTATATTTTCGAATTTCGAAATATTCTTATAAATGTATAAAATCCGTTGTCTAACTATGACTATACGGCAGTTAATCTAACAGTGATATAATTTTATGGGAAACGATGGCATGATATGCTCTCTCATTTTATTCCTCCATGTCTGACGATGATTAATTTCAGTGATTCGATCTCGCTTGAAAAATAGAAGAAGTCATAAGTAAATTGCTTATTGCAAGTACACATTCTGAGATAGTGGTTACTGGATCACATCCAAGGCAACATAGCGGTGTGAAAGATGAAGACAATGAGTCATGCGAATAGGAACTTACGAGAGTTCGCGATAAGAAGCGAGGCAAAAAAAAAAGGTTGAAGGGAGGAAGACGGACGGGCTAAGCTGTGATAGAGTCGTTTGGCTCAAGCTTGTAAATTCTTGGCTACTGCGGGATCCGGATCGCGCACTAACGCGCGCGGCTATGCGTAATTTATTTTGTCCAACGCATTATACGCCGACTCTAATACGCGCATTTCACCGTCCTTTCGGTCCTTTATGTACAGATGCATCCAGCAAATGGCGAAGGTAATAACGTTAAAGGCGTCGAGAAGAGCCTGATAAAATGTCCATTAAAACGTCTGATCGATAAGACCCGACTATCATTATACGTCCCTCCAGCATTTACCCCTTTTGACCGCGAATCACATCCGTTTAACAATTAATATTTAATATTTATGCGAACTTAATACTGGCCACGTTTATGTACAAAATACTGTTCGTCCTTAAGGGTGTATTGGCTATACAGTCAATCCGAAAACTTTATGTACCTTAGAAAAAGGCAATTTCCTATAATTAAAAAGAAATCAGACGTCGAAAGAACAATGATTTTGGATGAAAAAAGTTTACTTGTTAACGTTGAATTGGTTTTCAAAAATTAAAATTGATGGAATTTGTTATATTGTATATATAAGTACTTTATCGAAAAATGCTTCAAATGAAAGTTGTAGGTACTGATGTCCTCTACAAGGAAGGTTCTATGCATTTTTCTTCTAACTCCAGTATTTAACAAGTTAAGCGTGATTAATTGGCATTTTATGGGCAATGATAAAATCCGACTAATTCTACCGTCAAATCAGTAAACTTTTGGCAAAAAATTTCATTTTTTCTCAGGTACTCCTAAACCGTTGGACCTACGGGAAAATTGCATATGACCTTTTTTGTAGAGGACGACGAGATCTACAATTTTCGTCTGAAACATTTTTCGCTAGCGTCGATGGTTTACGAGTATTTTACAAAAAGAAAAAAAGTTTATTTCAAATAATTCGTTAACTATTGACACTAGCGAAAAATGTTTCAAATAAAAGTTGTAGCTCTAGTCGTCAGTTACAAAAGAAGGTCATATGCAATTTTCCCGTAGGTCCAACGGTTTAGGAGATAGTACGTACCCCTTGGGAAAATCTCTAATAATTTATTTTCTCTGAAAATTTGGACAAATGCTTCAAATAGAAGTTGTACATACTGCTATAATCTACAATTCTTCCTTTTGCTTACTAAACTTTACTTTTATAGTCTATCTTAAGTATTCTCCAAATTGATATTATTTCAACTTTAAAATATTCTTAAAAAATATATTAATTATACAAAATTAAAAAATTCCTTCATTATTGGATCTATATTTTTCCATAAATATAATCAAAATTCTACCATTCAACGTAAGAATTCAAAATGCAACAACTTTTTTAATAGCCTTGGAAAATTTCTAAAATTTTGCACAGTGTCTTATTAATTTAATACCTAATAACTGTTAAGATTTTAATACTTCGTCAGCGTTTTCATTCAAGGGTTACTACCTTAATTTTCAACTTCGTTTCTATCGTCTTGTTCTACGTCAAAATGTATCGAAAATCGATAGGTCGCGAAACCGGGAGGATCTCTATTGTGGAAAAAAATTAACCGCGCAACGAACGGACACAGAGATCAGCGAGTTGGAGTCATTCCAATCAGAATAATCATTGTTCCGGTTATTGTATTGGCAGCAGGCAGACGTTTCGGACAATAAGTACTGCCTATCTGTATCGTATCACATTTTCACCACCGCGGTATTTACGAATTGAAAGAACCGTTACATTTAAGAAAATCGTTTCAAACTGCAACAAAATATATTACAGGAAATGAGTTCTGATGCGTTCCCGAGCGACGAATTTGTCGGACTTAAACAAAAACCAGATGTTCTGCGCAAGGAAGAGGCCTGCATAATATATAAAAATTACCTGGTAATGCTGAGAGGCTCCTTGATTGCGTCCTTGATACTGGTGGTTACGGCAACCAGGAGTCGTGGGTGTTGACTGGTTATTTATCAATGAACCCCGGGGTAAGCCCAGCCCAAATAAATCCGAGATCGACATGTCACCTGACGTACCGGGAAGGAAAAAAAAATACGAGCCTGTTTTAAATCTAAATCGCAGAAATACACAAAACGGCGCCGCGAGGACTTTCAACTAACAAACGACGAACGGGCACGCTCGCTGCTCTCCAAGCAGGCGATTACAACAAATTTTTCTCATTATGTATCGGGTGTAAAAAAGAATGAGAAGAAAAGAAATGATACTTCTAGTATAACACATTAATCTAATAATGCCTAAATATA